AAGGGGGGACCCTTTTGAAAAAAATATCGCGATTTTCGAGTGTAACTTCCAAACGCGAAGAGATACGAAAGTGCGGTTTGATTTTTTGGAATCAGCGTGCTCCAATTAGTAAGGAAAAATTATTTTTGCAACTTTTTTTTTCATGTTTTTCAAAAAAAATTTCATAAGGGGGGACCCTTTTGAAAAAAATATCGCGATTTTCGAGTGTAACTTCCAAACGCGAATAGATACGAAAGTGCGGTTTGATTTTTTGGAATCAGCGTGGTCAAATTAGTTGGGAAAAATTATTTTTGCAACTTTTTTTTTCAAGTTTTTCAGAAAAAAATTCATAAGGGGGGACCCTTTTGAAAAAAATATCGCGATTTTCGAGTGTAACTTCCAAACGCGAAGAGATACGAAAGTGCGGTTTGATTTTTTGGAATCAGCGTGGTCAAATTAGTTAGGAAAAATTATTTTTGCAACTTTGTTTTTCAAGTTTTTCAGAAAAAATTTCATAAGGGGGGACCCTTTTGAAAAAATTATCGCGATTTTCGAGTGTAACTTCCAAACGCGAAGAGATACGAAAGTGCGGTTTGATTTTTTGGAATCAGCGTGCTCCAATTAGGAAGGAAAAATTATTTTTGCATTTTTTTTCATGTTTTTCAGAAAAAATTTCATAAGGGGGGACCCTTTTGAAAAAAATATCGCGATTTTCAAGTGTAACTTCCAAACGCAAAGAGATACGAAAGTGCGGTTTGATTTTTTGGAATCAGCGTGGTCAAATTAGTTAGGAAAAACTATTTTTGCAACTTTTTTTTTCAAGTTTTTCAGAAAAAATTTCATAAGGGGGGACCCTTTTGAAAAAAATATCGCGATTTTCAAGTGTAACTTCCAAACGCGAAGAGATACGAAAGTGCGGTTTGATTTTTTGGAATCAGCGTGGTCAAATTAGTTAGGAAAAACTATTTTTGCAACTTTTTTTTTTATGTTTTTCAGAAAAAATTTTATAAGGGGGGACCCTTTTGAAAAAAATATCGCGATTTTCGAGTGTAACTTCCAAACGCGAAGAGATACGAAAGTGCGGTTTGATTTTTTGGAATCAGCGTGCTCCAATTAGTAAGGAAAAATTATTTTTGCAACTTTTTTTTTCATGTTTTTCAAAAAAAATTTCATAAGGAAGGACCCTTTTGAAAAAAATATCGCGATTTTCGAGTGTAACTTCCAAACGCGAATAGATACGAAAGTGCGGTTTGATTTTTTGGAATCAGCGTGGTCAAATTAGTTGGGAAAAATTATTTTTGCAACTTTTTTTTTCAAGTTTTTCAGAAAAAATTTCATAAGGGGGGACCCTTTTGAAAAAAATATCGCGATTTTCGAGTGTAACTTCCAAACGCGAAGAGATACGAAAGTGCGGTTTGATTTTTTGGAATCAGCGTGCTCCAATTAGTTAGGAAAAACTATTTTTGCAACTTTTTTTTTCAAGTTTTTCAGAAAAAAATTCATAAGGGGGGACCCTTTTGAAAAAAATATCGCGATTTTCGAGTGTAACTTCCAAACGCGAAGAGATACGAAAGTGCGGTTTGATTTTTTGGAATCAGCGTGGTCAAATTAGTTAGGAAAAATTATTTTTGCAACTTTGTTTTTCAAGTTTTTCAGAAAAAATTTCATAAGGGGGGACCCTTTTGAAAAAATTATCGCGATTTTCGAGTGTAACTTCCAAACGCGAAGAGATACGAAAGTGCGGTTTGATTTTTTGGAATCAGCGTGGTCAAATTAGTTAGGAAAAATTATTTTTGCAACTTTGTTTTTCAAGTTTTTCAGAAAAAATTTCATAAGGGGGGACCCTTTTGAAAAAAATATCGCGATTTTCGAGTGTAACTTCCAAACGCGAAGAGATACGAAAGTGCGGTTTGATTTTTTGGAATCAGCGTGCTCCAATTAGTAAGGAAAAATTATTTTTGCAACTTTTTTTTTCATGTTTTTCAGAAAAAATTTCATAAGGGGGGACCCTTTTGAAAAAAATATCGCGATTTTCGAGTGTAACTTCCAAACGCGAATAGATACGAAAGTGCGGTTTGATTTTTTGGAATCAGCGTGGTCAAATTAGTTAGGAAAAATTATTTTTGCAACTTTTTTTTTCAAGTTTTTCAGAAAAAATTTCATAAGGGGGGACCCTTTTAAAAAAAATATCGCGATTTTCGAGTGTAACTTCCAAACGCGAAGAGATACGAAAGTGCGGTTTGATTTTTTGGAATCAGCGTGCTCCAATTAGTAAGGAAAAATTATTTTTGCAACTTTTTTTTTCATGTTTTTCAGAAAAAATTTCATAAGGGGGGACCCTTTTGAAAAAAATATCGCGATTTTCGAGTGTAACTTCCAAACGCGAAGAGATACGAAAGTGCGGTTTGATTTTTTGGAATCAGCGTGGTCAAATTAGTTAGGAAAAACTATTTTTGCAACTTTTTTTTTCAAGTTTTTCAGAAAAAATTTCATAAGGGGGGACCCTTTTGAAAAAATTATCGCGATTTTCGAGTGTAACTTCCAAACGCGAAGAGATACGAAAGTGCGGTTTGATTTTTTGGAATCAGCGTGCTCCAATTAGTAAGGAAAAATTATTTTTGCAACTTTTTTTTTCATGTTTTTCAGAAAAAATTTCATAAGGGGGGACCCTTTTGAAAAAAATATCGCGATTTTCGAGTGTAACTTCCAAACGCGAAGAGATACGAAAGTGCGGTTTGATTTTTTGGAATCAGCGTGGTCAAATTAGTTAGGAAAAACTATTTTTGCAACTTTTTTTTCAAGTTTTTCAGAAAAAAATTCATAAGGGGGGACCCTTTTGAAAAAAATATCGCGATTTTCAAGTGTAACTTCCAAACGCGAAGAGATACGAAAGTGCGGTTTGATTTTTTGGAATCAGCGTGCTCCAATTAGTAAGGAAAAATTATTTTTGCAACTTTTTTTTCATGTTTTTCAGAAAAAATTTCATAAGGGGGGACCCTTTTGAAAAAAATATCGCGATTTTCGAGTGTAACTTCCAAACGCGAAGAGATACGAAAGTGCGGTTTGATTTTTTGGAATCAGCGTGGTCAAATTAGTTAGGAAAAACTATTTTTGCAACTTTTTTTTCAAGTTTTTCAGAAAAAATTTCATAAGGGGGGACCCTTTTGAAAAAATTATCGCGATTTTCGAGTGTAACTTCCAAACGCGAAGAGATACGAAAGTGCGGTTTGATTTTTTGGAATCAGCGTGCTCCAATTAGGAAGGAAAAATTATTTTTGCATTTTTTTTTCATGTTTTTCAGAAAAAATTTCATAAGGGGGGACCCTTTTGAAAAAAATATCGCGATTTTCAAGTGTAACTTCCAAACGCGGAGAGATACGAAAGTGCGGTTTGATTTTTTGGAATCAGCGTGGTCAAATTAGTTAGGAAAAATTATTTTTGCAACTTTTTTTTTCAAGTTTTTCAGAAAAAATTTCATAAGGGGGGACCCTTTTGAAAAAAATATCGCGATTTTCGAGTGTAACTTCCAAACGCGAAGAGATACGAAAGTGCGGTTTGATTTTTTGGAATCAGCCTGCTCGAATTAGTTGGGAAAAATTATTTTTGCAACTTTTTTTTTCATGTTTTTCAGAAAAAATTTCATAAGGGGGACCCTTTTGAAAAAAATATCGCGATTAGACGGCGTACGCTGACTCTTTCTAGAGTGGTCAATTTTATGCGTAGTCCATAGTCGCGACTAACCGTCTAGAGCATGTCGATGACTTTCTGCCAAAGTATCGCAAGCAACATAACTCAAATTTCAGGAATTGAAAACATTTTTTGTTTTAAAGTCGGTTTTAAACCATATATAACCTAAAGGTTTTTATAACTAGTAAATAGCTATAATTATAAGCTAAGTAACTACTACTTATTATAAAACTTTTAGGCTATATTTATATATAATTTGGCAAAAAGTCATCGATATTCAGTCAAGACATTTTATCAATAAATTTTTAATCCAAAACTTACCACTTTAAAATTCAAAACTAACATTTAAATGTAATGTGTATTACAAATTCATCTTAAATCTTTACAAATTTAAACCAATAATTTTTAAAAACCAATATTTTAACCTTAAACTTTTACATATGCATTTTATACTTTAAGTAAATATTTTTTGACCATCAATTGTTTTGAGTTTAAAAAAATTTAACTTTGTAAATTTCTGTTAAAACACCATTAAAGTGCTAATCTTCAAACTATTATCTAATAAATGCTAAAAGGGCATGTTGAGTTTAAAAAAATTAACTATTTAAACTATTTTGGTAAAACAAATTTTATGTGTTTTTATTTTAAATGTCTCAACACTATTTGATTTAATTTAAATAATTTTATAAAATATTTATTTAAGATTTAAAAAATTCTGCCCAAATAAATTATACTAAGAAATTATTTTTATTAAAAAATAATAGTTTTTTTTGCAAAAATTGCAGAAGTGAACTGTTAGTTCGTAAATTTTGTCTTTAAATACAAGATAGTTGAAAATATTTTAAATTTATAAATGTAAACCTAAAATTTTTAGTAAGAAAAATTTGAGACCAATAAAATTTTAAATTAAAAAAAATATTTATAAAAGTTAAAACGACGTGCCATATAAATACAAGCCTGATTAAAATCATTTAATTTAAAACAATTTTTTTTATTTTAATTAATAATTTAAATAAGTTTTAAAAACAGTTTCTAAAATCTAAAAAAACACTTAAAATATTTAAAACTAAAGCACAATAATATCTTGACACTATTTAAATAAATTCATAGGCATAAAAAAACTGCTTATTTTGTTAAATAAAATAATAAAGGAATATACAAAAAAATATACGACAGTTGCGGACGGTGGTTTATTTGTTTATAAAGTAGTGCCAATATAATATTATTATAGTCAAGTTATTTTTAGTATTTTTTTAATAGCTCAAATAATTAAAAAAAAAATGTAATCATAATTTTTTCGAACCCTGAATAGAAGTCATCAAAAACTAACATACCTCATTTCATCGGTCTTCGAAGCTAACGCAATCAAGACGACCAAAAAGGTCTCGATCAAGTCCCTCACGACGACCTCGGCTCTGTCCGGATTATCGGCATCGACGGAGTCTATGGTGGTGTCCAGACTGGACGAGTACTTCTTGCCGCCTTGAAAAACCCTGCTGACCAATGGCACGGCGCACGGCTGGCTGGGATCCAGCTGCGCGCCCAATCGCCGAAGAACGTCCGCGGGAAACGAGTCGACGTTCGCGCGCACGTACTGGAAAATCACCTGCGAGCTTTGCGGGAACACGAGCAGGCTTTGCGTCAGGCAGGGCTCCGACAGGGCCAGCAGGAAGTCGCGATCGGTGGGTCGCGGTGCGCGCGCGCTCTGCAAGATCTGACCCAGGGCGCTGACCACTTCCGGCTGCAGGCCTCGCGACTTCGCCAGCAGGTTCACGACGTTCCAGTGGCCCGCTTGGCAGGCCACGTTCACGGCGAGTATTTGGTCGTAGTATTCCTCGTAGCACAAAAAGTTCCTAAACAAATGCGTAAAGGTACTGTTTTTGATAGCTGAAATGTCTATGTGACATAAATATTTGTTTTTTTTTGCAAGATTATAAAAAAATATTTGTTTTACTTTGATTTTTTTTATATACAAAATATTTATTTAACACTATAATATAATTAATTCTGTAGTTTGTGTTCTAAAATTTGAAGCTATATTTTCAAAATAAATTTTAATATTTTTGTAGGTATTACATGTATAATACATATTAATGCAAATAATATATTTATGTAGGATTAATTTTACAAAAGTGTGTTTTGGCGTTCCCAAAAGTTATGAGGGCCTATTTGATTTTGACTTACAAAAAATTTCCGACATTTACTTTCTAAAAATTCGACATTTTTAAATAAGGTTGACATTCTAAAACGTGTTAGCATTCTTAAATTTGTTTAATAGTCTAAAGTTGACCTTTTTAATAGGCATTCTAAAATATGATTCTAACAATCTTAATATTTTTTAATGTTTGGCATTATAAAAGAACTTTTTGTCATTATTAAATATGAAATAATATGTCATTTTCCTGTCTTCTAGTTATTAATGAGGGTAAATTTATTATTAGCCTTATGTCACATATGTCCGCTGGAATTGGAATATTTAGTTTATAAGCACAAGTTCTTAAGAATTTATTTTGGACTCTTTCAATTCGATTGATATGGATGTTATAGTAAGGTGACCAGATGATACTATTAAATTCCAGGATAGATCTAATGTAACTTATATATACCGTTTTCAGACACGAAATATCAAAATCTTTTAATTGCCGATTTACACATATTATTTCTGTACAAAATTCTAAATAATTTAATTGATAGCTCCTCACTTCTGGCCGATATTAGATTACATGCACCTCTAAGAGTAAACCGACTGAATACTTTATTTTACACAAACTCACATAGTACAAATTATTCATACAATACTCCATTGGATCGTGCATGCAGACTTGCAAACGTAGTTAATATTGAATTTTTTGTCAGCACACTTCATACTTTTAAAAAACATCTTCAATTAAAAATAAATTCAGCTGGGATCTAAGCATTGGTACGGATTTTAATACAATGGTATTTATTTGTTAACTGTTATTTTTTATGGACATTTATTTATTTATGTACTATTTATTTTTGTCTTACTTTTTTTTTTTAATTTTATATATATATATATATATATAACTATATTTTATACATTTTTTATGTTCTGTATGCTGTAATATTTTGTAATTATACTCATGGCCTTGTGCCGTAAATAAAGTTTATTATTATTATTATTTATTATTATTATTAATATGGTTTAGACATTCTTGAGTGTATTTTTTTGACTATTTATTTGGCTTTCCCGAAAATGACAAATGATTTTGACATTTACTTTCTAAAAATTTGTTTGATATTCCAAAATAAGGTTGACTTTTTTAATAGACATTCTAAAATATGATTCTGACAATCTAAATATTTTTTGACATTATTAAATATGGTTTAAACATTCTTGAATGTATTTTTTGAATATTTATTTGGCGTTCCCAAAAATGACAAATGATTTTGACTTTTATAAAAAAAATCGACGTTTACTTTAAAAAAATTTGTTTGATATTCTAAAATAAAGTTGACCCTTTAAATAGGCATTCTAAAATATGATTCTGATAATCTAAATATTTTTTGACTATTTTTTTATAGTTCCCGAAAATGATAGAGCCTTTATGATTTAGACTTTTATAAAAAAATCAGACATTTACTTTAGAACTAAAAACATTTAGGTAGGTACTTTTTTGTTATTCTAAAATAAGGTTGACCTTTTTATGAGGCATTCTAAAATATGATTCTGACAATCTAAATATTTTTTGACTTTAAAATTGACATTTTTAAATATGTTTGGCATTATAAAATGTTTTTTGACATTATTAAATATGGACATCCTTAAGTGAATTTTTTTGACGTTCCCAAAAATGAGAGGGCCTTTGGATTTATACTTTCTAAAAATTTGTTTGATATTCTAAAATAAGGTTGATCTTTTTAATAGGTATTCTAAATTATGATTCTGACAATCTTAATATTTTTTGACTTTAAACTCATTATTTTCTGACATTATTAAATATGGTTTTAGAGATTCTTGAAAAATCCGACCTTTACTTTCTAAAAGTTTGTTGGATATTCTAAAATAAGGTTGACCTCTTCAATAGGCATTCTAAAATATTATTTTGACTATCTAAATATTTTTTGACTTTAAACTTGACATTTTTAAATATGTTTAGCGTTATAAAATTATTGTTTGACATTCTTGATTAATTTTTTTGACTTACCAAAAAATGACAGGGCCTTTTTGATTTTGAATTTTATTAAAAAATTCAGACATTTACTTTCTAAAAATTTGGCTGATATTCTAAAATAAGGTTGACCTTTTTAATAGGCATTCTAAAATATGATTCTGACAATCTTAATATTTTGTTACTTTAAACTTGACATGTTTAAATATGTTTGGCATTATAAAATAATTATTAAATATGGTTTAGGGATTCTTGTGTATTTTTTGACGTTCCAAAAATGCCTTTTTGATTTTGGCTTTTATAAAAAAATTCCGACCTTTAATTCCTAAAAAATTGTTTGTAATTCTAAAATAAGGCTGATCCTTTTAATAGGCATTTTAAAATATAATTCTGACTTTTTTTTACTTTAAACTTGATATTTTTAAATATGTTTAGCATTATAAAGTAATTTTGTGACATTATTAAATATTGTTTACAAATTCTTGAGTGTACTTTTCTGACAGGGCCTTTTTGATTTTGAATTTTATAAAAAAATTCCGACTTTTATTTATAAAAATTCCCCTGGACATTCTTGAATGAATAAGGTTGACACTCTAACTTTCTAAAATTTCCCAAAGAACCAAAGTTTGCAAAATTAGTAAACTTTTTCCCAAGTTAGTATGGTGTACGAAATTTTATATTTATTGGCCTTTATTTGGACATATAAATTGTCATTGTATTCACGTTTGACCAAACTAGTTAAAATATAGTTACTTTTGGCCAACTTGAAGTTTGGTCAAAAATTGGCAAAACGTTAACCAGTTTGCTTATGCGCATTAGCGAGTATATAAATAAATCAATATATAGGTTAAAAAACTGTTTTAATGACAACACTATGCAGGTTATAAAATTAAAAGAATTTTTCTATTTCCTTTGACGGTGTTACCAAACAATTACATGTTATCCTAAAACAAACCCTTCACTTTGTACGATGGTTTTATAAAATGAAAATTGATTTTATCCTAACAATAAAAGTATGAATGGGTACTTACATAAAATCCTTAATATTTGACATCCTAGCAGGACCACCAAACCTCAATATCAACTCGGTATACGCCATCACAGCCAAATTGCCTATGTGAATTTTGGTCGGCATCGACATGTCAACTTTACTGGCACTCAGGCACAAATGCACGAACTTCAGCAGAGTTCTGCAATCTGCCGAAACGGCCAGCTTCAAAACTCTCTTCAGCAGATGCACTTTGGCCTGTTTGTACAAAATTATGCCCATGTGAAAGGAGCCTCTGGCTATTAAAAGATCGCCGCAGCATTCGAGTAGCTGTTGCAGATTCAAACCGAAAATGTAGGAGATTTTTTCCGCCTTTTCGAGACTGTTTTCTTCCGTAACGTATTCAACGAATTTTTTCACCGGCGAACAACTAAAAAATTATTTGTACCAGTTTTAAGTATGACTTGACATTCTTAATTTACTAAATTTGATATTCTTAAATAGGGTTGACTATGAATTTTGACCTTATTGACATGTTTAACTTCTAAAATGGGATTTCCTCATGCTAAAATAATATTGACTTTCCAAATTACACTATTACACTTAAAATTTAACTCTAAAAAGTGACATTCCAAGATGTGATTGAAAATTCTTAAATATTGACTTTATTCCAGGCCATTAAAATTTTAAAAAATTTAACAAAATGTAACATTTAAAAATATTTTTTTAAATTTAAAAATGAGTTTTTGCCAAACTAAAATTATTTTGACTTATGAAACTCTCATATATGTATTTGACATTCTAAAATGCGAGATTCTTAAATAATTTGTTTTTTTATTCAAGATCATTAAAATTTTGAAATTGTTAATATATATTTAAAAATGTAAATTGATTTTAACATTTTAAAATTATTTTTTTAAATTTAAAAATGCGTTTTTGGCAAATCATAATTAGTTAGACTTTCTAAATTATGAAACTCTCATATATATTTTTGACATTCTAAAATCCGACTTGAGATTCTTAAATAACTTTGATTTTTATTCCAGAAGATCATGAAAATTTAAAAATTGTTTAAATATATAAAAAAAAAAAAAATTTTGCCATGATTTTAACATTTAAAAATAACTTTTTTAAGTTTAAAAATGAGTTTTTGGCAAATCAAGATTAGTTTGACATTCTAAATTATCAAACTCTCACATATTGTTTTGACATCTTATCTTAGATAATTTTGATTTTTATTCCAGGAGAACATAAAAATTCTAAAATTCTTAAAATTTATACTAAAAAATACATTTTTTGCTGATTTTGATATTAAAAAAAATTTTTTTTTAATTTTAAAATGAGTTTTAGGCAAATCAAAATTAGTTTGACTTTCTAAATTATGAAAATTTTAAAATTATTTTTTTTCTAAATTATGAAATTCTCAAATATTGTTTTGACATCTTATCTTAAAATGTGTCTTGAGATTCTTAAATAATTTTAATTTTTGTTCCAGAAGATCATAAAAAATCTAAAATTGTTAAAATATATAAACAATTACATATTTTGCCATGATTTTGACTTTTAAAAATGATTTTTTTAAATTTAAAAATGAGTTTTTGGCAAATAAAAATTAGTTTCTTACTTTCTAAATTATGAAATTCTCATATTTTGGCAAATCAAAATTAGTTTGACTTTCTAAATTATGAAACTCTCATATATGGTTTTGACATATTAAAATTTGTCTTGAGATTCTTAAATAATTTTGATTTTTATTCCAGAAAATCATGAAACTTTAAAAAATGTATCGAGTACTAAAAAGTGATATTTTCTTACCTTACAACAATTTTATATACAGAACTGTCAGTAACAATGACGCATGTGTCAATTCGAGGTTTTCTTACGGTAATGTCGTCAACGGTTTTTGGTAATTCATATACTTTCTCTTTTTTGTCGTCTTTTTTACGCAAGCGCACTGAGGTTAGGTCTACTAATTTAAAAACTTGAAGGATTTTTTCATTCGACACCGAAAATCTGGCGACCAGAGATTCATTGTTGAATTCCTGCAAACATAATGATACTGTTGGTTCAAATAAATTGAATTAAAAACGCCATATTTTCTTTTAAAGATACTTACGGAATCTCCTTCAAGTCGACACTCCGACAACTGCGAACTAATAATCGACAAAGTGTCATTGTCATCATTTATTGTGTATATCAATTTATCAGTCAACAAAAGGAATGTCGTATTGGAACACAACTTGTGTACAAATAAAGGCGCAGACTCCACATCAACGGCATGTACCTAAAAAGAGATTCACAATAGAATGTTACGCGATGTTTCAGTCAAAGAAAAATTTAAGATTTTTTAAGCACTTTTGTTAGATTTATTTTTATTTTAATTTTTTATATTTTAACAGTTATTTAGAGTTGTTCAAACTGCTATACCAAGATAAGTAATTTTTGTACAACACTGTATATTAAAATATTGTTCAAATAGGCTTGATCTTTTGTATAAATGTCAAAATTATTTAAGAATTACACATTTTAGTATATACTATAAGCAAAACAATTTAGGACTACAAACCTATTTTAACATTTCAAAAACCCATTTTGGCACAAAGCACACTAATGAGGACCAAAAGCAAGAAACAAACTTTAAAATGGGTTTTTGGCATGTTAAAATAGGTTTGAAGCCCTTAATTGTTTTTCTATACTAAAATGTGTAATTCTTAAATAATTTTGACATTTATACGAGATCAATCCTATTTTAACAATATGTAATGTCTTTGGTTGCTCTCGTTTAAAAACGATTTTTTGAAAGAATTTATGAAAATTATAACACTTGTGTAGATATTCCATAGATTATTTCAAAAATTCTTTTCCAAACTTGAGAAACAAAATAGGATCAGCTTAAAAATTAATTATTTATTTTATTTTTTATGCAAATCTCATGAGCGAGCTCGTGAAATACAAAATTAAAAAATTGCGTATGAAGAAATTGTAACTTTAAAAATTATTTTCTTGGAATCTGTGCTGTAAAAAAATCTGAAATTATTTGTGAATGTGTCTGATGCCTCACAAAATGGAAACCCTTTAAATGAAAAAAAAAACGGTTTTTTCACGATTATTGATATTTCGTAAAAATTGTTTTCCGAAGAACACTCGATAAACTTCACGAAAAATATGATATTTCATGTTTTTGAGCCAATATTTCGTAATAGAGTATGAAAAATTATAAAAGTCATCATTTACTATTTGAGGTTGAACTTTAACCTCAAATAACTTTTAAACGAGTCGACTAAGCAAAAAATCATATCAGATCTTTTTTGTAGATCGTTCAATTTCCTACAAGAATATGTATTGATTTCTACAACTCACTGATTCGTTAAAACGCAATAAAATTACAAACAAAAAAATCGCGATGAGCCACCTCTTAGTATTAATATTAAGAGCTCAAACTTTATCAGAATTTTTTTTTCGTCATCTTGGACGATATTTTCATGGTATCTAAAGAAAAAAAATTAAAAGTTTGTTTTGGCCCACCCTAATGTACATAATACAATATAATGTACTATGCTCCACACCTCAAAGTCCCACCACGTGACCACGTACGGAACGCAGTCTTTTGAAAATTTGGCATTTAAGCCTTTTTAGGTTATGTATCTGTCAAAGTATAGTCAATGAAAGAAATAATATTTATAGTGTTACCGCTTATGTTTAAGCGTTGAAAGTTAATAAATCTTTATAGTATCACAATAACAATGGTTGGTTTAAGAATTTAGGAATATAAAATAAATCTTTATAGTATCACAATAACAATGGTTGGTTTAAGAATTTAGGAATATAAATACTGCATTTAATGAAATTCCAAAGTGTAAGGCGCAATTTAAGTGATATTTTTGTGCATTGGGTCTACATTTCTCCATAAAATAGTTTTAACTAAACAGCATTTATTAAAAAAAATCTAACTTCTCTATTATGAAATAAGAATATCTGTATCAAAGGTAGGTTAATGTATTTGAACAAAAAATATCATCTAATTCTGTATTTTAAGGTTAGAAAAATCTATTTTGACCAAAATAAATAGGTGGATTATTTAGAAGAGTGTGTTAATATGGTCATAAATAAATATTGAATATGGTTCAAATTAAATTGAAGCTTTTATACTTCTAATGACAAAACTTGTGCATACCTCTCAGCATACCTACTTTAAGTTATATTACACTCACGTGCAAAATAATCGATCCACACAAATTTTCGATGAATTTCAATCGCAAATAACTTTTTTATTTGATGTCGGATTTAAACGAATATTAAAGAATATTGTAGATAAATTAATGGACAATCGCTCACATTCTCCATAGCCTATGGATGGACCATAGCAACCTCAGTTCTTCATACAGAAAAAATATTGGAAATAGCAATGTTTTTTTAAAAAATCCATATTTTCCACAAAAATAAATATATCGAGGTGAACCAAAAACAAAACTGTTAAGAATAGATGTGACTTGATGAATAAAACTTAATTTAGAACAATATACGGTTTTGCCACTCTACAGAGTGAATGAAACTTATGGTAAAAAACATCTTTTTGTTTAAACCTGTATATTATAAACGTACGTCTATTTTTTTTAAATGTGAGCGATTGTCCATTAATTTATCTACAATATTCTTTAATATTCGTTTAAATCCGACATCAAATAAAAAAGTTATTTGCGATTGAAATTCATCGAAAATTTGTGTGGATCGATTATTTTGCACGTGAGTGTATAAGAAAACAAACAATTTTTAGAGAAACTTGCAATGTGAAAATATTTAATACTCTCATGACATGTGATTTATTAAAATTTTTAAAGTTATAATGATTTTTCGATGTAGATCAAGTTCAGTCAAAGCTTTTTAACTATTTGTATTGACAAAACTTTATGTAGGTACACTTTAAGCTGGATAAGAAAAACAACCACATTTTTAAATACCATATTATACAGTCTATTAAATAATCCAAAATACTAATATATTTTGGTCAAAATAAATTTTTCTAACCTTAAAATTACAAAATTAGATGATATTGTGTTATAATATATTAACCCACCTTTAAAACAGATATTTTTATTCCATAATAGAAAAGCTAGATTTTTTTTAATAAATGCTGTTTAGTTCAAATTATTTTATGGAGAAAACAGATATTTGGACCAAATTCACAAAAATATTACTTATTTGGCACCATGCACTTAAGAATTTCATTAAATGCAGTATTTATATTCTTAAATTCTTAAACCATCCATTGTTATTGTAATGTTATAAAGATTTATACATTTTTAACTCCTAAACATAACATTATTTCTTTCGTTGACTATACTCTGACAGATACATAACCTGAAAAGCCTTAAATGCCAAATTTTCAAAAGACTGCGTTCCGTACGTGGTCACGTCGATGGTTATTTGACAAAACATCGTAAGCGACAAAACCTAAATTTTACAGGAGAGATTTTTTTTGTGTGGGAGCTTTATTTTTAAAGTTATTTATCTGAAAACTGGTGAGGCATTATTTTATTAATGTAGAATTCAAATATTTAAGTTAGATCAAATCCAATCTAAAATTTTCATTAAATTTTGTGGCATACGATATTTTATAAGAACATCTTTAGGAAAATGTAAAAATAGTCTTGTCGCTTAAGTTACATTTACGTTACTTTGTGCGATATAGATTTGATGATTACTTTTGTCAAAACATTGTTAGCGACAATTATTTTTTTACTTTTATTATTAAATAAAAAATAATTACAAAAAAATTAATTTATATCACCAACGATATTTTGCCAAACAATGTTTGAAAATGAAAATCTACATTAGCTTTCTTTGAAAAAAATGAACGATTTTTATTCACAAACCAGTATCTAACCCATGGAGCCTACACAAGGAGCCCGAACTTAATGTCTGTGCAAACCAACCTTTAGGGACATTTTTGACAAGATGACAAGCAGTTTCAAAAAGTTGACAGAGAATCTAACCTTAAAACAACACAATCAACAATGAAATACGTCAAACTGACAACTTTCAGAAAGTAAGGTTAGTGGTTACTAAAGGCAGTTTTACATTTTGAAATCAACTGAATGACAGGTCGTTCGAAATTTTTTGGCCGTCATCTAACCGTTATAAATTTGAGTTAAATTATTTGACGTTATAATAACATACAATTACTACAAAAAATACTTTTAACGAACCACACTACGTAAAAACAATTATAATTAGGATAACTATTAAAACTTAATGCTATGATAAAAAGGAATTATAAGCTTTTGATCAAATAAAATATTGTTTTAAAACTTGGTAGCAATCACAATCCACATTGTGGATTGTGGTAGCAATCACCACGATGCAGGTATACCCACGAATAAACTGTTTAGAACGGGAATAACGCCTTGATAGATCAAGGCGGGAGCACAATATTATCGTAAGCGACACAATGTTAAATCGCAAACGCCATGTCTCGGAGTTGCTTACGATTATTTGTCAGGAACATATCGATGGTTATTTGACAAAACATCGTAAGCGACAAAACCTAAATTTTATAGGAGAGATTTTTTTTGTGTGGGAGCTTTATTTTTAAAGTTATTTATCTGAAAACTGGTGAGGCATTATTTTATTAATGTAGAATTCAAATATTTAAGTTAGATCGAATACAATCTAAAATTTTCATTAAATTTTGTGGCATACGATATTTTATAAGAACATCTTTAGGAAAATGTAAAATTAGTCTTGTCGCTTAAGTTACATTTTCGAACATCAAACTTCTGTCATTTCAAAAAATGTCTGTGCAAACCATACCTTAGGGACATTTTTGACAAGATGACAAGCAGTTTCAAAAAGTAGACAGAGAATCTAATCTTAAAACAACACAATCAACAATGAAATACGTCAAACTGACAACTTTCAGAAAGTAAGGTTAGTTGTCACTAAAGGCAGTTTTACAATTTAAAATCAACTGAATGACAGGTCGTTCGAAATTTTTTGGCCGTTATAAATTTAAGTCAAATTATTTGACGTTATAACAACATACAATTACTACAAAAAACCACTTTTAACGAACCACACTACGTAAAAACAATTATAATTAGGATAACTATTAATATTGCAATGATAAAAAGGAATTATAAGCTTTTGATCAAATAAAATATTGTTTTAAAATTGGTAGCAATCACAATCCACACTGTGGATATTATCGTAAGCGACACAATGTTAAATCGCAAACGCCATGTCTCGGAGTTGCTTACGATTGTTTGTCGGGAACATATAGGCGCTTACGTTATAAATCGGTAACAAATTAAAAAGAAGAGGCGCTTACAATAATAAAAATATTCAAACTGACCAATATTAGATTCAAAAATTGGAATAACTATTATGTTAACATGTGCAGCTTATCGTAACTGACACTTTGATAAAATAAAAAGTAATTCAACAAAATTGTCGCTTACGATGTTTTGTCAAATAACCATCGACGTGGTCACGTGTACATATGTAAAAGAATGTAATGTTTTATTGTAAATGTGTTAAATATCAGAGCCTAATTAGATAAAACGTTATTATATGGTACTTACTGTGAGCAGGCTGGAAGGCTTGTAGAACGCCGAGAACAAGTACTGATTGCGGGCGTGCTGAGGCGCGAAAAACGTGTCGCACAGGTGCGGCAACAGCTCCGGGCCCGAGCTGTGCGTGGAGTCGGTGTGCGACGACTCGGACGCGGTCTCGCTGGTCTGGCTGTCGCGCCTGGCGACGCGCGGCTCGCCGCCGAACCGCTGCCGCAGCAGCTGCAGCTTGTCGACGCCCAGCTGCTTGAGGTTGTGCAGCCGAGATTTGGTCGAGTCGTCCGAGATGGCGTTGGAGTCGGGCGGCCACACGTAGCCGGTGTTGTGGTGTTCGAGTATCAGGCGCCACTGTTGGCCGCTAATGCCGTTTATCTTAACAAAAAAAGTATATACAGTAGGGTGGTCCATTTTTTAAGAAATTTTGATTTTTTTTGCTCTCAGGGGTTCAAAGGGTTCGAAATAAATAAAAAAATATATTTTCCTAGTTTCAAGTTCCTAACATAATATTAACCCGTGCCGCATTGCAGTTTATGTTTCCTATGTAAATAACATGGTTTTTTTCAGCATTGAATAATTAATTATTTATTCCGGCCAAAGTAACTATTCAAAAAATTTGAAACTTGTCAGAATTTAACCTTATAATAGTAGCTATTCGTTAGAATTTTAACGGAATTTTAGCAATGATATTGTTAGAGTTTCATCTATATGATTTTTATTAAATTTAAGAAAATCATGTAGCTTAAACTTTAAAATTATAATAGCTTAAAATCTGTAAAAATTCTGAGAAATAGCCACTATTATAAGGTTCAATTTTGCCAGGTTTCAATTTTTTTTGACAGTTGCTTTGGCCGGAATAAATAATTAATTATTCAATGCTGAAAATCCCATGTTATTTACATAGGAAACTTAAACTGCAATGCGACACGGGTTAATATTAAGTTAGGGACTTGAAACTTGGAAAATATATTTTTTTATTTATTTCGAACCCTTTGAACCCCTGAGAGCAAAAAAATTGAAAATTTCTCAAAATATGGACCACCCTAATATACAGTGTGGCCCATTTAAGATGGAAACACCCCTGTAACTGTTTTATTTGTTACTCGATTTTAATGAACAAAGGCTCAAAAGATAGAGAATAAAAAACTCTATATAAGCTATACAAAAATATTGTCAATGTCACTTGACAGATCCCTACTATAAATACTATAAATATATCTAAAATAGTTATTGATTGTTCGTTTTAATGAAATTTGGTTTGTACCACAGACCTACAAACAAGATGGACCGGTTTATTTACATTGAAAAGAGTGGCCAGGAACAAAAATAAATATTTTCCCTCAGTTGTCACATTTGACTTTGAAGTTTCTATATTTTACGTAAAAGATACTTGGAATTCACAACATTTAATATTTTTTATTTGATTTTATAGTGAAAAATACCAATAGTGAGTGATATAAAAATGGTGAAGCAGTGCTACGTTTGTAAAAGACTTGGATCCAAGAATTTAAAACTTTATTTTCATAGGTTAGTTTATTTACAAAACAAACCCTGCCAGGAGCGTAGAAACTGAATAAATAAATGAATTCACTTAAATTTTAGATTTAAAGAGCCAGATTCTACATCATCTGGAACACTAACTGACAAGGTTAGTATTTTGTTATACCTATATATTTATATATATTAAATATAATTTTTACATAGGATTGCAAAACACAATAAAAAATGTACAATTTAATATTTTTATTTATCCCTAAAAACAGAACGCCACTGGTGTGGGAACTTGTTTATAAATACCCCTTACCCCTTTACCCCTAATCTAAATAGTTCTTGGCAACAAAACATTGTGTATTTTGAATAGGAAAGGCCAGTCCATCTTGTTTGTAGGTCTGTGGTTTGTACCCATTTTAAAGCATGCCGCATTCAGTAGCGTACTTATTTTTTCGAAAAAATGATGCTTAGATTTTTTATTCTCTATCTTTTGAGCTGATGTTCATTAAAATCGAGTAACAAATAAAGTTATGGGGGTGTTTCCATCTTAAATGGGCCACACTGTATATGAAAAATAAATACATAAAACACTTATTAAAGACCGGATTATATACAAAAACAGGATGCAAATTTAATATGCATGAAAAAATGCTTAAATCATAATAATATTGCGTTTTAATTCCTTTAAATGTTTAAAATAATAATTTTTTTAATTTTCTGTTTGTAACCTTATTCTGTTTAAATGTTTTTTATAAATTTTAATAAATGTTGGATGGGTGCTATATTTTTTCAAATGTAACATCTACCTATGTTCAAGTACATCCCAGAAAGTAAAAGTTTACCTGAGCCGAAAATTAATTTGAGAATAAAGCAGTGATGCCAACTCGTGGGAAATTTCCCTTTTTGAGGGAAATTTTTTCTCTAATTAAGACAAATGGGGAAAAAGGGAAATATTTAAAAAAAGGCCGTCCATAATGAAAATTTAAAATTAACCGTTTTCTACTGTTTCTAAGATTCTATTTAGAAATAATTCGGATTTTTAAAAAATTTAAGACTTTATTTTTCTTATTTCATACATAAAATATAAACTCTATAACTTTTGATGTAACAAAACCTTATTTGGATTTACATAATAAAAATATGTATTCTTTTAAAGATTAAAACAATAGGCCGTATTTATAAAAGAAAAGATATGCTTATACCTTGGCTTATACTTATACTACAGCTTTTATATACATATAATCATTAATACAAGCTGAAGGATATCTTTTTTTTATCAATATGGCAAATTGTTTTATATGTTCACTTTCCATGTATTTATATAGGTACACGTTGTTTTTTATAAGTTTACTAATAGATACTATTACTAAATTTCTAAAATGGTGTCTTTTTAAATAATTTCTCTTATATTTTTAAAACGGCATATTCAAAAAAGCGTGGGAAAAAAGGTCATTTTTGAACATTTTTAGGGAAATTTGCTGCAAAATGGTTGACAACACTGCATTAAAGGTTGCTGTTGGAGAACAAAGGGTAAGATGGCAAAAATATGCTTTAAGGCACTTTAGGTGCCCAAAGCAACTAACAACTACTGTAAAAATATCAGAAAGTACTTTTATATATTTCTTACTACAATTTACTGTTATTTTTGTTATTATCAAGGTTAACTAGGCACTTTTTTTAAATAACTGTCAAAATAATATTTACTGATTTATATTTATTAGTTGTTGATGTTGATGAAATAATTAATTTGTGCTGCATAAATCCACTAATAATATTGTTTTACTCAATATAGCAAATTTTAAATTAGGGTCCCTAGAATTTTGCCAACTAAACCCCCAAATTTATGATGTCAAATTCCAAATAAATAAAAACAAACTGTAGGTATAAATTTAATAAAAAAATTGAACTTACCAATAATGACACCGTTTCCAGACTATTATCCTGACACAAGCACAACTGCTTGACAGACTCAGAAATGTTGCAACACCCCAAATATCTGCCATCTGTTAAACTAATTAAAACAATTGCACCATTCTCATAGCCCACTAAAGCATTCTGATTGCAGTCTAATGTTTGCCACCAAACAATACTGGTCGGTATCACATTTGGAGTCAAAGTATGCTTTTGAAAGTGAGTAATATCATTCAGAGACCACTTACAGTCAATTTTTTGTTTCTTATCTACTAAACTTAAGGCAGGTATTATGTAAAGAGAACCGTCAAAGGCTAGAAAATAATTAAATGAATTTTGGTTAAACTTGCACTATTAGAGTTATTATTACAAATAACTAATAACCATGTTGCCGAAGGATCAAAACAGACAGCTTGTATAACTTTTTGTCTATCTGTAAACCATGGTACTCTTTTAACAACTGGTGTCATTTCTCCATAACTATAATGTAAAACAACTTCCCCATCGCTAAAAACACATTTAAAATCACTAAATTAGTATTTTGTTCATCCTAAGTTGTCATTCTTAAGAGTAATTTATATTTATTGTTATAACTATACCTATAGCTAACATATGAGTTCTTAAGACAAAGATAACCAACAATATTGGACAAATATTACTTATTTAGTTTTGGAGATATATTTGGTTTTATTATTATACTTTTATCAAGTCAAGTTACCTTGTAATAAGAGCTAGCAATTGTTTAACTCCACTTTCAATCCTTGCACACAATCTTATGTTAATATTTTCTAAAATACACTGTAAATTAAAGATGTCTTGTGCAAACGGAGTATCTTCGGGTGTCGTCATTTTGAAATCTCCTTCACTTCTGTCCAGTCAACATTTCTTACATTACATTTTTTTTATTGTAAATATTTTAAAACAAATATTTCCAATGTCAACATTTTCAGGGTTGACAGTTCAGAAACGTCAACAGTGTTGCCAGCCTATTGCTTTTGTGATGTTACGTAGGGATGTTACCCACAATGTTACCCACAATATGTGGATTGTGATGTTAGCACAAAAACTGAACAAGAGGAAGTTTTTGTGGTAGTATTATTTCTATGACTTTCGATGTAACGCGATTCGCTTTAGACAAAGTTGATCTCACGAGGTGCCCCATATTTGAACTCAGGGACATGCGCATTTCAAAAATCGCATGCGCCGTTTAAAAAGGGACTTGGAAGTTTTTTCTTCTAAGAAAAGGGACGGGATTTTAAAATTACAAATGTCCCTGACGTCCATATGACAGTCAAAGAGCTCGGTAGGAACAAGCCTATTATTTGTTTTTCAATAAAGAAAAAACCAAAAACTAAACAACAAACTGGTTAGATTTGCACCTAGACCAGGTCTAGGGATTTGCAATTGGTAGGCCTGGAATAAAATGCTAATGGCTGCCATTTTATTAACCTTTTAGGCGGGGAGAAGCGAATTTCACATTTATGTGTTATTGAAACGTTCTCTTCGTAGATATGAAAGATTTTAAATAGGCTTGGTTAGTAAAAAGTAAGTATGAATTTTGCATGAAAACAAGGGGTTGAAATGCAAGTATTGCAATATTAGGCAAGCTGTTTCTGTGGCCTCGAATTGTTTCCAGTCATCTAGCCTAGCAAAAGACTAAAGTTAATTGTTTTCAGCCAATAAAGTGAATGAAACAAGGAAGGGAGACTTAGTTTGAGCAGAAAATAACCCAAAGGCAGTGTAGGTACAAAAGTGTAGAAGACGGCGGCGACGAAGGCATGGAAGATGGTGTAGTTACACCAATAATGGCAAACTTCCCTGAAGGGACAGTTGCTGATGTAAAAATTAACGGAGATACCCATGTTAAGGAAGAAAAAGAAAACAATGTTGAAGAGTCAAGCTCGGAGAGTGATGCTTTAGTGATAGACGAGAGTGTGGCAAAGCCCAAGATTAAAAAAAAACGTGTTTCGAAAGTAAAGGCAGCAGAGAATGAGGTGATAGCTCACTCAAATCCGTATTTTAATGAATCTCTTTTTGAATTAATCACTCAAGACTGTAATAAAGTGTCAAAAAGTAAAAAAAAGACAAAACCCAAATTAAGAGAGTATGCTCAATATTTAGGTTTGCAGCCCACAGTACAGTTTAAGTGTTCAAAATGCGGTTTGGCAGGATTTGAATCTTTGTCATCTTTAAATGATCATGTGGTGCAGTGCAACGAGGTTAGAAATATTCAACAAACCCCTTCAGAAAACCCTTGTTCTGGTTTTAAATTGACTCGAAAAGTGTTTTTGTGCTCTGCATGTGGAACTTACTATGAAAATTGGAACCTATACATGCACATGTTGGAATTCCACAGGCGCTACATATGTTTGTATTGTTTAGGAATGTTTTCAATGCTACAAGATTTATGTCAACATATACAGTCAAAGCACAATTTGGAGCCAGGCTTTAAAAACTCCCCAGATGAATTTTTCAACACTTACAATGAACCTTGTTATTTAGTGTGTTGTGAGTGTAATAAACATTTCACCGAGCAGGACAATTTTTTCTACCATAATTGTGATGTTTCCAAAGGTAAAACTAAAACTGTGGCAGCAAAACCGACGTTAATTGCACCTGGAAATCACATAACAGGTGAGTCAGGAAGTGTAAATATTGACAAAACATTGGCAACAACAAGCACAACACAACAACAAGACTCAACAACAGCAGGTGCAGAAAGTGAGTTGCCAGTTACTGGTAGTGTTAGTGAGGAGAAGCTTGAAAACGAAAGTGATGTTTCCAAAGAAACAAATGACTTGAGTGCAAAAGTGACAGTTAATAATCAAGAACCAGACCTACAAGTTACTAACAGTACACCAGAAATGACTGAAGAGAGTAAAAATAATGATAATGTTGATGAAAATAACGAAACAAACAGTCCAGATTTAAGCAGGGAAAATGTGGATGAAGATGAGAAAATAGAGGTTGATGACAAGTCGGAGGAAGAGGTTGATGTAGAGGAGGACGACGAGGAAGAAATGGCAGAGAGTCCTGAACCTGTGGAAACTAGAAAGGTAGCTAACAACATTCTAAATTATCTTAATTTTAAAGAGTTTATGTTTTTTAAGAAAATTTCTGTTTTTAAGTTGGCAGCTTGATTGTTAGGGTGTAGGGATTTTATTTTAGTGGTTATTTTTGTAGAAATGACAGCTAATTAAATTAATAAAGAAAGAAATTTATTTCTTTGCTCTATGTGCTTACAGAATCCCACTGTTGGTTTTTAAATTGTAATATATTTGCTTTGAATACAAACATATCGCTCATTCGAAACAACAATGACACAACTCAAAAATCACAGTTTTTGAGAAAAAGCATTTTAAATTTGTTATTACTGTTTTACATTAACCAAGCCAGGCTCAAAAAATAAGAGAGGCTCAAAAAATAAGAGCTGGGCTCAAATATTTTGTTGTTTAGGCATACTCTCTAAAAAACAGTACCTAATAAAAAATTTAAAATGCGTTTTCTCGAAAACTGTGATTTTTGAGTTTTAAATGACAAATAATTAATAAAAAAACTCTGTAAATGGTTAATAAGAATTGTATTTACAGCAAATTTTACATATAAATATTAAATTTCATAATAAAATACTTGTGACTAATAAACTAACTGTCATGTTTGGTAAATTACATATTTTGTTAAACTGAAATTTGTAAATTTAAGGAGTCTGTTAATGTATGTATTTTATGATTTTTTTGGAATTGGTAGGATAACAATTTTTTCTAGGTAGATAACTAAACAAAAAAACGGTCATTTAAAAATATATTTTATTTATTTTTATATTTTATTCAACAGCCATTTGATTTCTTAACTTCTTAACTTAAAATTGGAAAAAGTTGCTTGACAGCTGTCAAACTGGATTTAAATTCCTGTGGTAGATGAATAAAATATTGTTTGCGACTATTGTTCAAACTCCACGTCGAGGAATCTCCTCTTTCTCTTCACCTTTTTTCATATAGTATAATGGTAATCATTATAACCGCCCTGCAGGGCATGCCTAACAACGTGAATAATAAACTCATTATTTACGTTGTTAGGCATCGGTGATTGGCTGATTTGAATATTCACTGTGACTTGAACCAATTGGGTTTGAGGTTGGAAATTTCTAACAGATGTCATGTGTTTTTATTTATACAAGGGGCAACTATAATTATCATTAAAATCGGAAGAAGGTGAGGTATAATAAATTTTGTTATTAATAGACATTAGGTACTTAATTGGAGTAGAAAAAGCATAATACACTCGAGATAATGCGTTTATTCCCTCGGATGATTCGGGTTGAGACGCAAAATCCTCGTAAATAATAGCCTGCATTATCTTGTTTAAAATTTTCTAATTATTTGTTTTAGACCATAACAGACAAATATACCTACTACAAATATATTAACCAGGGTGTCCGATATTTCCCGAGTAAATTCTTTGACAAGATAAATCTTTTTTTGTCCCGTCCACACCTTTTAATTATTACAATTAAGTATCTCTACTTTTATAAAATATTTCTTGCGGTTTTTTTATTTAATGTATAGCTAATAAAAGAAGAATATTTTTGACAATTTTGATGGCAAAATATTATACAAGGTGTCCCTAAACTTAGTGGCATAAATTTAGGAGCAGATTAAGCAAGTCAAAATAAGACGAAAATCTAAATAAATATTTTTCCTAATTACGTATGTTTCCAAGATACAGGGTGATAAAGTGTTACTTATCATATCAGTTTTTTTTAATATAACTTCTACTATGGTTGACTTGGAATGGTCATAATTTGCGAACAGTAACTTACTACCAATACACATATTCCCACATAATTACAATTGTTTGAGTGAATACAGTGTCATAGAAACAGGGGTTGCTTAAGCTTATTGTCCCATACAAACTTTGAGGTTAGGTTTTTAAATATTTTGATGCAATTTTCGATTAATCAGTTCGGCTACTAATAAAAAGGTGTACCTCTCAAACTTCGATAAAATAAACCGTTTCCGAGATATTTGAGATTACAATAATTATCGCAATAAAGGGTTAGGTAAAAGGTATATGATAATAAATTTTATTTAATTAAAAAACCGAGGCTCATGGAATGCCCTTTTCAGTTTTTTCAATTAAAAAATAAAATTTGTTATCATATACTTACCTTTTAATCCTTTAATGCGATATAACAATAATTATTATTGTAATCTCGAATATCTCGGAAACGGTTTATTTTATCGAAGTATGAGAGGTATACCTTTTTAATGGTGACCGAACTGAGTAATCGAAAAATTTAATCAAATGTTATAAAAACCTAACCTCAAAGTTTGTATGAGACAATAAGCTTAGAGCAAACCCCGTTTCTACGACACTGTGTTTACTCAAACAATTGTAATTAGGTGTGAATATGTGTATTGGTGGTAAGTGATTGTTCGCAAAATATCACATTTCCAAGTCTACCATAGTAAAAGTTATATTAAAAAAAGTGATATGATGAGTAATACTTTATCACCCTGTATCTTGGAAACATAAGTAATTAGGAAAAATATTTATTTAGGTTTTCGTCTTAATTTGACTTGGTTAGGCTAATAAGTTTAGGGACACCTTGTATTAGTATATTAAAGAACTAATGTCATAAGACGTCATTTTGTCGCACGCGGACAATTTATAAAACGAGCGACGAAGGAGCGAGTTTTATAATGGACAAGTGCGACAAAAGGTCTTATGACATGAGTTCTTTATGCTATTTTATCTATTTTGCAAACATTTCATAAAACAAATTAATTTTATACCTTATATTTAATTTGGTCGAATTTTACTTTACATAGTTGGTATCTCAGTTTGAAGTTTGAAAGGTCATTAACCTTTCAAACATTATCACATTCTTTCGCTATGGCGTCGTTAATTTACAATAAGTATTTACAATAGGCGGCTGTTAAAGAAGAAACAAGAATTTTCTTTGGTGTTAAACAAAATTTATTGAACGAAAAGTCTCGTAAGTACTAGAAAACAAATCATAAAAACATTATAACCTATAGGTATTCAAAATTGTATTTTACCAGTAGCCAACCTATAAAATCAAAATTTTGGGTGGAATAAAGTACCTCATTAAAGAACCAAAAGCGGTGTTATAATGAAGTCATTATGAAACCAAAATAGATAAAATAAATTATCTTCAATTTTTTTTATAAAAACAGTTTTGTAATTCGTGCGTTTCGCGCTTCTGAAATGGCCCTTTAGTTTTTGAGATATTGGCACTTTTATGAATTTTGTGAAACTCGATACCTTAGATCCGTTTTTCGATTGCCACAGTTACAAAATTTTATATTCCAAGATTCTATTTTTTGTTGCGGAGCCCTGATTAGGCATGCTATTGATTACAGTTTAAAATAAAACTAAAAATTAAAAAGACTTGGGGGACATCCATTAAGTACGTAAGGCATTTTTCTGATAGTTTGGACCCCCTCCCCCTTGGTGAGATGTGGTAGACCCCCTATCCCTCACTTGAGATTTTAACCATTAAATTTTCTTTGCGGACAACCTGTAATAAAATGTAATTTGAATTTTAATTACACAGGCCGACAAAAATAAAATTTCTGTTTTGTGCATGGCAACCAACAACTTTTTAAGGGTAATTTAGGTACGCTGAATCCATTTTGCTCCATCAGCTATTGTTTTTGCGATGTAGAATAAAAACCATTTTTTTCGATATGCGCACATTCAAATTCTTATATATTTTTTTAAACTTCTAATTTAAGCAAGGATAATTGGGAATGTTGCTATGGGTGTTTATTAAACTAAAAAAAATACCATATACATTGATAATGGTATTCGATTTAAAACTCTTGCTTTCATCGAAAGAAAATCGATTTTTTAGCCAAAATTCGGATATTTTTAAAATTCAAAGTGATACAGCATGATAAATTTTTGCCCGATTTAAATAAAATTTACCCCATTTGTAGCTCTATTTATCTACTTTATAGTGTTACAATTTCAATGCAATCAAAAATTGAATGAGAGTAGTGCTGCCGTGCTAAGCTAAACCCCAGTATCTGCAATATTAAATAAAAGATCATTTTCATTGTTAAAAACAATAAAAAGTATCTTTTGTCCTTTATTATTTAATATTGCAGATACGGGGGTTTACTTTAGCACGGCAGAGTGTATGATAGTATAGTATTGAGAGCAGCAGCAGATACTCTACTCATACTCTCCTACACTAAAACTAATAGAAAAAAAAACAATAATATTTTTGACATCTTATAGACATACCTTAAAATTAGGTCTAAAATCTTAGGCACAAAAATTGTCCACTTAAATAGGCTCTGTGAATATTAATAGCTATTCACGGAGTTTATTTAAGTGGTACACGCAGTACCCAATTTTGGTTGATTTTATTGTCATGTTGCCAATTTTTATTTGATTGCATTGAAATTTTATCACAATAAAGTAGATAAATAGAGCTGCAAATAGGATAAATTTTATTTAAATCGGGCAAAAATTGATCATGCTGTATTACTTTAAATTTTAAAAATTTCCGAATTTTGGCTAAAAAATCGATTTTCTTTCGATGAAAGCAAGATTTTTAAAGAGAATACAATTATCAACGTATATGGTATTTTTTTTACAGTTTAATAAAGACCCATAGCAACATTACCAACTATCCTTGCTTAAATTAGAAGTTAAAAAAAATATATTTAAGCATTTGAATGTGCGCATATAAAAAAAATGGTTTTTTGTCTACATCGCAAAAACAAACGCTGATTGAGCAAAATGATGGTCGTTTTTGGATTCGGCGTACTCAAATTAAAAAAAAATAAATGTTATAAATACTAACAGCCTTTAAAAGTACTTTATTTATTTAAATGATAATTATTTTCCTACTAGGTTCCCAAACTCTCTCTGAAACTCCCAAAACCCGGCACCTATCCGGAAATCGTGAACAACGACGAAGATGACGAGTACAGCAACGACAGCGACAGACTCGCGATGGAGCTCGATCAGATCGAAAGCGAAAACGAAAATCCGGACGTGGAGGAAACGGAAGAAGCCGCCCCGGAAGCGACCGTGACGGAAGAAGACGAGCCGGCCGCAGCGCCGGCGGACGAAGCTCCGGAAGCGGAAGCAGCAAATGACGACGGCGATAAGCCCGAAGAAGCGGACGACGCGACGTCGTCCATCCAGGTGGCCGGAAGCGAGGTCGGCATAATCGAGCTCGAGCTGGAGCAACCGCTCGACAAGTTCGACATCCGGTTGCTGCTGCAAAAGTGCCTCAAGGCGACGGTGTCGACGTGCATCTACTGCAACCACGCGCGCGTGATCGCCGTGAACGGGAAGCAGCTGGGGCTGCACGCGATCGCCGAGCACCGATTCTCCGCGGTGGTGAACAGCATCACCGCCGAAGAACTGATCCCCGAGAGCTTCGTGACGCGCATCAGGGAGTGCCTGCCGGAGCTGGAGGCGGTGTTTTTCAACCTGGAGTCGGACGTGAGCGCCGAGGCGGTCACGTTCTCGCACTCGTTCGAGTGCTTCCAGTGCCACTTCAGCACGTCGGTGCACAAGGAGTTGTACCTGCACAACCGGAAGCTGCACGCGAAAAACCTGCTGCTGTGCATCATGTGCAAGTCGAACTTTTTCAGCTACAGCGAGCTGATTTGCCATTTGTGCCCGGGAGTGTACGTTTTGGATTACGATTTGCAGTTTCGGTGTTGTTTGTGCGTGAGCGACGATTTGCCCTCGGCGTTTCGTCTCATGGTGCATTTGCGTAAGAGACACCACGTGTGCGACGTGTGCTTGGAGATGTGCCACAACCAGTACCGGTTGTCGAACCACGTGTGGAAGCACAAATTGCACCACTTCTGCTATCGGTGCGGAATCGCGTACCGCAACAAGCCCGACATCACTCGGCATCTTTTCTGGAAGCACGGCACCGAGAGCGTGCTGTGCAAAAAGTGCCTGCAGAAGAAGTGGCCGCACGTGTACCACTTTTGCGTGCCGCCGGCGTTTTTCACGTGCGAAGAGTGCTCGCTCACTTTTTCCAAAGCCGTGGCCCTTAAAGTGCACAAACGACTGCACGCCGACGTGAAACCGCACGCGTGCACTTTCGAGGACTGCACCGAGAAGTTCATATCGAAAAAGTTGGTGCGGAAACACGAGGACCGACATCGGGCGCCGCCGGAAGAAGCGAAGGAAGAAAAACCGGAGACGGAGGAGGTGGCGGAGAAGGAGGAGGAAAAGAAGGTCGAAGCGGTGGAAGAGAAGGTCGAGGAAAAGCCGAAACCCAAAATCGACGTTTACGATCTGCCCGCTCTGAATCTTTCCGAGAGCGACAGCAGCGAATCGGAAGCCGAGGTGGAGAAGAGCAAGCCGATTACGCCGACTGCGACGGAGGAGGAGGAAAAACCGATAAACGACGAAACCGCGGCGGAAATCGTCGACGAAATTGACGGAATTAATGTTGACAATGAGTTGGTGCGAGAAGAACAGGTGGTGGTGAAGGGTGAAGTCGAGGAGGAACCGGAAAAACCCACGCCGATAATCGAGAACATTTGGGAGGATTTCAAAAATTATCAGGCCAACAAAGACAAGCTCGATCAAATATTCGTGGAATCGACCGTTGTGGAGGAGATAAAAGTGGAAGAGGAGGAGAAAAAACCGGAGGAAATGAGCGCGGAAGCCGCTCTGCGAGACCACGACTACTGCATCGATCCCGAACGTAAGCCCGACGCCAGTATAATCGAAGTGAAGCCGGATTTGACGCTCACGGAGCGAATGGACCACGACTATTGCACTCCGAAGAGCGAAGGAGAAGACAAAAAGGAACAAGAGGTACCTAGATCATTTTTTTTTTTAGTTTTTTTCAAGATTAGTTTCATTTGCCAGTCCAGTTCATAGACTAAAATGTAGCCACTAAATGACATTTACAGTTACTGTAAAAATATTTATTTTCAATTTTTCGAGGAAAAGTCATTTTTCATAGTTTCTTTTGCTTGTTATATAAATTCAATTCGCTTTGAGAAACATAAATTTTGTTATACAGAATGAGCAAAAATACTGATTTTCAAAATTAAAAAAATTTAAACATTTTTTTAAGCGCTAATATTAAGAGATGATAAAGAGAAATCAAAAAGTCAAATGAAGTTTTTTCATACTAAAATATTTGATATTGAAAATTGAACATATTAGTTTTAAAATTTTAACTAATAATTGTAAACATGTCAGTTGAAAGCAACAACCTTGATTTATAATCACAAAATGAGATAGCAGTCAATTTCTACAAAATAATAGGACCACTCAAGTTAGAACCTGAATTGATTTTATTTTTAAAAACAAATGTCTTAGTAACAACAACTTGGCCTTTTGGTTTCTCCTTACAAGCTCTTTATATTAGACCTTCAAAAAAAATAATTAACAATTTTTAATTTTGCAAAATCTACAATTGTATTTTTTGTGCGCACCCTGTATAACAAAATAGAAGTTTCTCATCGTGAATGGTATTTATATAACAAGCAGGAGAAATTATGAGGAGTGACTTTTCTTTGAAAAATTGAAATTAAATATGTATACAAGTATAGTTAAGTCAATCTGTGGACACACTGTATATATATATTTCTTATTAAAACAGACTTTATTAGGCTAGTTCACTCGATAATAGGAATATTTTGCAGTATTTCATTTTATTATTAATATACCTATTTTTTGCTCAAAATTTCAAATTGAAAAATACTCAAGATTGATGTTATTTATTGACAGAATATGCTGGCTCAACATTTCTCAAGTGTGCCACTTAAAAATTGATGGTCTTATTTTTCATCGATTTTTAATCGGTTTAGGGGTAAAAACAACTTTCCAAAAATCGGTTTTTACAATACTTATTAATAATTACATTTTTAGTGGATGTTTTTTTTCAAAAATTGTCCCGAACGGTTCATCAAAACTTCACATTTTTTATATCAAAATTTTCGTTGAAAAATATACTTTACGATAAAAAATTTGTTGCTAGGGGCAAACCTTTTTAAAAAAAAACTATTGAAAATTGAAAATGAATAAAACTTCTCCGCCTGCGAGGAAATTTGTTCACATTTTATCTGATTTTACAATCCCTTACGAAAATTGTGGTAAAAAAAGTTATTATTTTGTAATAGGTCAAAAGTTATAAATGTTTTTGTGACCTATTATAAAATAATAACTTTTTTTCGTAAGGGATTGTAAAATCAGACAAAATGTGAAAAAATTTCCTCGCAGGCGGAAAAGTTTTATTAATTTTCAATTGTTTAAAAAAAATAGCTAGGTAGTTTTATTTTTTTTTAAAAGGATTGTCCCTAACAACAAATTTTTTATAGTATATTTTTTAAGAAAGATTTTGATATAAAAAATGTTAAGTGTTAATTTTTGAAAAAAAGATCCACAAAAAATGTAATTATTAATAGGACTTGTAATAGTATATTATGTATCAAGTTTTATAAACGCCATTTTAGCTACGAGTTTAATTAAGCACGAGCGAAGCTTGCGAGCGAGTTTTTAATAAAAACGAGTGTCTAGAGAAGTTTATAAACGAGTTGCATACTATACTTTATCTACGACGAACACAAAACAGAATTTAAAGCCAATTTTATTTGTTAAAATTTTGACATCTGTCAACTGTCACCCGAATTTAACCTCACTTTTTCCCAATTTATAATAAAGCTAACTTCAGCCCGTGACGTAAAATGTCGAAAAGCCACTGTTGTTAACTTTAGCCCTTTAATAAAACGCCATAAAGTCACAGCTCGTCAATGTAGGAGTAGATAAAATTCTACCGCTTGAAAACCGCATTAATCAATGAAAAATGAGACCATCAATTTTTAAGTGGCACACTTGAGAAATTTTGAGCCTGCTTTATTTAGCGCATTTGAAAAAAAACGGAAAGAAACGGTTTTTTTCATGTTTTTTTTTTTCAAATCTCTAGGTGGAAGGGAACACGCGACCGGGTGGCAGAACGGCGACGGCCGACAAGAGTTCGAGCGATTCGAGCAGCGACAGCGACAGTTCGTGCTCGTGCGGTTCGAACTGTTCGTGCTCGAGTTCGAGCGGGGGTTCCCCTTCCTCGAGCACCTCGGACAGCTCGGGTTCGGACTCGTCGACGGCCGAGGGCAGACGGAGACAGATCGAGAGGCGGGCGCGACGCAAGCTGAAATCCAAGGCGGACAGCAGGAAAGCGGCGGCTGCGGCGGCATCGAAAACCGCCGCCGTCTCGACCGAGCAGGCGGCGGCGGCGCGGCCTCAGCCTGCCGCGGTGGCGCCCATCGAAACCCCCATCCTCGAGTCCGATTTGGAGACGACCGAGAGCGAGACGGACGAAGAGTTCTACGACAGGCAGCCGCACAAGCTGGCCAAGAAGGTGTTTGAGGAGAAGCGGAACCAGCTGATCGCGGAGGCGGGCAGCGGCGGCTTCGTGGAGAGCACGAGCCGGCCGCCGACGCCGCCGCCCGAGGAGGAGGCGCCGCCGCCGAGGCAGAAGAAGAAGTCCAAGTCGAAGAAGCGCAAGAAGAAGAAGAGCGAGAAGCGCACGCACGAGATCGTTCGGAAGCAGTACGAGGCTTGCGGCACGCCGACGGTGGCGCCGATCACTCTCTCGTTGACTCCGGCGGCCGCCTACTGCACTCTGACTCCCGGAGGCGGGGCCGCCCTGGATTCCACCCCGCTGAACGATGCCGTGCGCCGCAGGGACTCGACCGATTCGAGTTCGAACCTGCGCGCGTCCAAGAGACGCCGCGTGCCCAACAAATTCTACGGCTACTCGAGCGACGAGGAGGACAAGGACAAGTCGGCCAACGCTCATATGCAAAAGTGGAGAAAAACGGAGGTGAGTATCGATTTTCATTTGCTTCGTATGTCCGCTATCGAAATTTGTCATTCATTTTTTAAACCGATTGGGCTGAAATTTTGTACACACTTTTGGTGCTGGTGACAGTACAACTAACGGGCTTGGTCAGTGCCTGAGCACAATTCCGCGCGCGCCCTTAATGTGTAATGGAACTTTATCTTCTCTTTACATTTTTTCATTTTAGCGCTTTGATGCCCTCGATATGTATACCGATACAAAATAATAAAATAACGCAAAGTTAATCGAATACACAAACAATGTTTTTATTTTTTAAATCCGAATTTTACTCATGTTCACAATTCCTAAAATCATCACAAAATATTTTTTGTTCTCCTAACTAAATTGCATGATACAAAATAGACTGCTAAGCAATTTTGCAAAAAAAACTTAGTTTATAAACAATTAAATTACGAAAACACTTTTTCAAAAAAGTTACAAACTTTTGAATGCATCGACCGGTTTTGACGGAAACGGGCTTAAATGAAAGAATTAATTGGTCTATTGATTATCAAATTAAATTGAAAAAAAATATTTTGTTTTAAATAATTTAAAAAAAAAAAATATATTTAATTATGTTCTGCGTCTCCCAAACTGAAAAAAAAATAGATACACAAAGTTGAATTTCGTGGAGAGTTATACCGTAATTTCATTTTGCATGTAGTTATGCAAAATCGCATTCGGTTTTTAATTATTAAAAAAAAAAGTATTTTTAATTATGTACTGCGTCTCCCAAACTGGAAAAAAAAATAGATACACAAAGTTGAATTTCGTGGAGAAAGAGTTATACCGTACTTTCATTTTGCATGTAGATATGCAAAATCGCATTCGGTTTCTAAGAATGGGAGACGTCGAGAGACGGTTTTCGTAATTCAGCAGTAGACCCTTCACCGGCGTTGGGTGATAGTCGAAGTTTGTTCTGGATTATTAATACGAATTATGCATTATTAAGTTAATTTATTTTAAAAAATGCAACGTTATCAATTCTTACAGTAAATAATTATTAATTAAAGGTGTAAAATCATTATTTGTTTTGCATTTAACTAAAAAAAAAACGTTTAAACAACAAAAATTCTCCTTAAAAACTAAAATAAAAAAATAAATTAATTATATACAACCATTAGTTTTAAACCTTTGCATAACGTTTGTTATTGTTCTAATTAACGAAATAAAACGATCCAGATATTTAACTGAGGTATCTTGTTTGACGTAGAGAATTGCCCACTAAAGACCAGCTTATCATGTCAATTTTCTCTTGCAATTTGTAGGACATTACAACTTATAATTTTAATTAAAGAAATTTAATTATGTTAAAACGCTCGAAACACACACTAGCAAATGCAAAACATAACTAAATCGTCGCCTACCGCAACCTGCTTACAATGCATCTGAGGAGGGGCCTCTGGAAAGGGGCTTTCGGGTTCACTCGGGTTTACTCGAGTGCAAATATTTCAAATAAAAATACATTATAGGATGTTGTATAGATTAAATGAAATATTTTCGAGTTTAAGTTGTTTAACAATAACGTTTAAATTATAGACTAGACGAGAATAAAAAATATGTTGTGCCGATTTCACGAATTTTGACACTCATACGTTCATTCTATTTATAAGAATGCTGTTAAATTTGACACGTAAATCGTTTCTACATGTCAGTTTCTCTATGCATGTACCTGGTACTACCACAATGAAATATACAGTTTGTTTTTTTATTCGGAATTTAACAACCTCAAAAATTTCTGTTATCTTTAGCATTTTTCATTATAATTCTAACAATTAAATGATAAATGTTCTTCTTCTTCTTTGCTTTGTTTGACTTTTACCTTCCAGGATTTGGCCAGCTGAATCTTCTATCTTTTCAGTGTTGCTGGAGCAAGCGAGTCTAGGATAACCTATAGCTTCTCCTTTTTTTCTTAATTATATATTTTATTCTTTTTAAATTATCACTTTAGTCTTCTTTTTAGTTAATTTTTATATCAATCTTATTTATTTCGGTTCGTTCTTAACACATCTTAATACACTTTAAATAACCAAACATAAACAAAATCGAAACCCGCGCAGCGGAAGTCACTTTTAATACATAAACAAGATCACGATGTACGCAGCGGAAGTCCAAAGGCAAAAAAAAATAGAAATCAAACGGTTTGCACATATATAGTTGATCTTCTAATACTTTGACCATTTTTTGTGGAAAATTTTAAAACCCTAGGTAGTTCGTAAACAATTAACTTTGTTACAGAACGCGACTACGCCAAGGTCGCCCATGGTAGTGCCGCCTATCACGATAAAAACGGTGTCGACGCCGATGCGCGCCGCTCCCGTGACCCATCACGTGCCGCCTCCGCCCGCGCACCCCCCAATCGAACCGATCTCGATCTCGCGCAGCGGAGGCGGCGTCCGCATCCAGCGGCGCATGCCGCCCATCCGGCTGCTGCCGCCGCGCCAGCAGACCGAGGAGAGCGGCACAGACTCGAACGACAGCGACGACGAGGAGGAGCCCGAGGAGGAGGTGGCGCGGATGCCGCCTCCCGGCGTGGCGCCGCCGCCGAACCAACCGCCGCAGCTCTACTGCTACTGTCGCTGTCCGTACGACGAGGTTTCCGAGATGATCGGCTGCGATTCCAGCGACTGCGCCATCGAGTGGTTCCACTTCGAGTGCGTCGGCATCATGGTGCCCCCCAAGGGCCAGTGGTTTTGCCCCGACTGCCGGAAAAAGAAGCAGATGCGCAGGGAGCTGCTGCAAGCCTCCTCCTAAGCTAAACAATCGTCATCGACATTTTTTCATCGTGCTGCCACTTACGTTAATCATGATTAATAACAACAATAATTATTGTTGTTGCAACGAAATATAATTTGAACGTCAATTAGGTAAGTTAATTAGGCTGGTAAATTACCTTTCCAAAGCTAAATTTTAATTTTAAATGCGGTACTAATCGTATAAATATTTAGTACCAATTATGATGTAGTTGCTGAGGTTTAAATGTGGTTAATTTTTAATGTGGTACCCAATTTTTATCATAACTATATTCCTAAAATTGCTATATAATTGGCTTAATAACATTGATTCTAAAATTTTATAATTTCTGTTACCCACATTTAAATCTGCGCACCGGTAATTGAAACTTTTTCATTGTTTTTAAGCGCTTCCGCAAATCTTTATTTCAAGTTATAACGAGTTATAATTTTATATGAATTTGATGATAAATTATTGCCCTTCAGTTTTTTCATGTTGAGGCTTACTGATATACTTTTTTGTTCCATTTTTATTACATTATTTAGAACTATTACGACAGTGTTTTAATTTTTAACTGTTTTTAAAAAAATTTGTCCGTCGCATTTTTACATTTTTTTGTTTTTGCACGTATCTGAGGTTCCATAGATAACAACACACTAACTGCCTATTAATTTTTTTGTTACTGTTATTTTTAGAACCCATTATTATTAATTAATGATTAATTTATTGAGGACTGGTTTTATTTTCATGTTGTATATTAATTCGAATTATTTTTGTTAATTTTTTAAAACTGGTGACAGCAGTTACGTTCCCTTGTAAATAAACCGATGATGATTATTAATATTTTTAAGCATGTACCTGTATATAAAAACCTAGCTAAATAGACGTAGAATTAAATTAACCACTTAAAAATTGTGATTTTTACAGACGTGCGCGTTCGACTCGATCGCAATTTTGAAAAAGGTTCGGGCAAAGAATTTTGTGATGGAGTCGAATGTGTTTTATAGACTAAGTCATTTTCCTTTCACTTTCATCCTTGAATGTAATTATATGATAAGATTTGCCAAATTAGTCTTGTAAATGTGTACATATTTTTTATCGAGTGATGATGATAATCTCGCCGCTCTGCAGCAGATGATATTTTTTTCAAAACAAATGTTTAGAACATTGTTAGATCTGAAATACTCTACTTGTATTAATTTCAGCTAATTTTCCATGTATTATAAATGTACATTTTTTCTGATATTGTGTCAATAAATTGTATCAGATTTAAGCTTTGTCCTTTTCTTCACACACCTATTTTATCATCTATTCCCCAAGGGCCAGTGGTTTTGCCCCGACTGCCGGAAAAAGAAGCAGATGCGCAGGGAGCTGCTGCAAGCCTCCTCCTAAGCTAAACAATCGTCATCGACATTTTTTCATCGTGCTGCCACTTACGTTAATCATGATTAATAACAACAATAATTATTGTTGTTGCAACGAAATATAATTTGAACGTCAATTAGGTAAGTTAATTAGGCTGGTAAACTACCTTTCCAAAGCTAAATTTTAATTTTAAATGCGGTACTAATCGTATAAATATTTAGTACCAATTATGATGTAGTTGCTGAGATTTAAATGTGGTTAATTTTTAATGTGGTACCCAATTTTTATCATAACTATATTCCTAAAATTGCTATTTAATTGGCTTAATAACATTGTTTCTAAAATTTTTTAATTTCTGTTACCCACATTTAAATCTGCGCACCGGTAATTGAAACTTTTTCATTGTTTTTAAGCGCTTCCGCAAATCTTTATTTCAAGTTATAATTTTATATGAATTTGATGATAAATTATTGCCCTTCAGTTTTTTCATGTTGAGGCTTAATGATATACTTTTTGTTCCATTTTTATTACATTATTTAGAACTATTACGACAGTGTTTTAATTTTTAACTGTTTTTAAAAAAATTGTCCGTCGCATTTTTACATTTTTTTGTTTTTGCACGTATCTGAGGTTCCATAGATAACAACACACTAACTGCCTATTAATTTTTTTTGTTACTGTTATTTTTAAAACCCATTATTATTAATTAATGATTAATTTATTGAGGACATGTTTTATTTTCATGTTGTATATTAATTCGAATTATTTTTGTTAATTTTTTAAAACTGGTGACAGCAGTTACGTTCCCTTGTAAATAAACCGATGATGATTATTAATATTTTTAAGCATGTACCTGTATATAAAAACCTAGCTAAATAGACGTAGAATTAAATTAACCACTTAAAAATTGTGATTTTTACAGACGTGCGCGTTCGACTCGATCGCAATTTTGAAAAAGGTTCGGGCAAAGAATTTTGTGATGGAGTCGAATGTGTTTTATAGACTAAGTCATTTTCCTTTCACTTTCATCCTTGAATGTAATTATATGATAAGATTTGCCAAATTAGTCTTGTAAATGTGTACATATTTTTTATCGAGTGATGATGATAATCTCGCCGCTCTGCAGCAGATGATATTTTTTTCAAAACAAATGTTTAGAACATTGTTAGATCTGAAATACTCTACTTGTATTAATTTCAGCTAATTTTCCATGTATTATAAATGTACATTTTTTCTGATATTGTGTCAATAAATTGTATCAGATTTAAGCCTTGTCCTTTTCTTCACACACCTATTTTATCATCTATTTCTTAAAGGTTTATTTAACTACACTTCTGTATTTGAACATTGCCCGAAAAAATGCTTAAATGGCTTCTAAGGGAGCTACAGCCTTTTAAAGAAGTTGTTCTTTACTTGACAACTTTTTCGTACATGTAAAAAATAAATACACAAAATATAGAAAAATAACTTTTTTATTAGGTCTAAAAGATCTAAAACTTGAGTGATAATAAGAACTAATTATTTACATAAAGTGAGTTGCCTAAAATATATACATGTTTAGTAAAATTGGGATTCCGTTGCTACATGAAATTATCACATAAATTGTTCATTTTTATTGCATTTATTTGGTTAGTAATAGAGGGAAAAAGTTGGTTTCTTCTTAAAAACATGTTGTAAATAAACATGTCAACTAAAAGGTAAATATTATTTAATTGGAGAAAGAATTTTGTCAAATTTTATAGCGGAATGATAATAAAAGTATTCGCTAATTGTAAATAATACGTATGGCCTGGAGATTCTTAAAGAGATCTAAATAAATGGTTGATTTTTTTTGTCATTTCTTTGGCACATTTAATTGGATTTAATAAGGGTAATAAGTCTAAGATATTTAGTCAGTAGCTTTCCTGTTTATGTGTCGAGTATGGCAGATGCCGCCAATTCTACATTCCAGTTGGTCCTCTGCAGTGCTGCCTCGCATTGAGTCCTATTTGCCATGCCCAACCTGATAAAAATTAAACATACATTAAAGTACAGTTGGAGTTTTGACATAAATGAAATCCTACTTGAGCAGTTTGTCCAGTTTGATGTTTTTGATGGTGGCATTTACGTCCCATCCGTTAGCTTGCAACTTGGAAAGACACTCCTCGGTAGGCATGTCCTGCACGCACTCCTTTACCAGGCTTACTTTGTTGTTTCGGTACTCGGATGTCATAAGTCGCTCTGCGTCTGCGCTTAACTAAAAAATAAACTTTATCATGTTTCTTTGTACTTTCAATTGGACGCCTTTCTGCAGAAAGGAACCAACCCACAAAACCAAAAAAATCGAGATATTTAGCCTATGAACTAATTAAGTATGTATAATTTATCTGCAAAATAGGTCATAGCCAAAATGCAAGTGTAGTGAAATCTATTAATCATTGAACCAACCAACATTCAATAATAGTGTGGATTACTAATCCAGAATTAGAATCTGTAGAATATCTGCAAGTGGGTTGGATCTTTTTTGTAAAAAAGCAGGCTGGTAGACCCACTACCAAAGTCTTTAAAGATTTCCTGCTTCTGCAAAATATAAAGTCTTGATGCATTTTTTTGGTAGCTTACAAGATGAGGTGGGGTTGGAAGATGATGTGGACGAATTTCAAATAGAATCAAAATTAATTCATATTACCATTATAATCAGAGGCGGATTATCCCTAAGGCAAACTAGGCACGTGCCTAGGTTAGAAGGGGGCGCGATGTTTGATAAAAACGCAAGTTTTTATGAACACCGAGTAGGTATTTATTGAAGAAAGATTTACAACTTATTGGTTTGATTATTTAATCAGCATGCGCAAGTGAGTTTTGAAACGAAGAAAATAATTAACATAAAATTATATATAAGGAACGTATGGCAGGCCCCATCGGCACGCCTTGCACTGATCTCCCAGGGTTATTTCACCCCCTTTCAGTTCTCCTACTTATCCCGCCACTAAAAAGCATGTGTTTGGTGCATCCGCATTTTCACCCCGGTTGGTAAATCTTCCCTAGGAGGTGGTGGATGACAGTGTGGATGGTTAAGGCCACTCCCGGAATTTTTTCGCCGGGCCGGGCCAAACGCCCGATTCAGGCTAGTACAGTACGGGACAAGGAGGCAATTCGGAATCCCCCTCAACCAGGGATTTAGTAATGCCCCCATTTATTTGGGGTTCATGAATAAGGTTTGGTTGGTTAGTACGCTGCTAGGACCTATCTTTTCTGGTCTTGTAGTCTGCTGAAATTCGGAAACTGTTGTGAGCAATTGTTTGCCCCACTGTGCGAAAACGTTTCCTCAGTGTATGGGTCGAGAACTATCGATAGATATTTGTCTTTATTTTGTGATAGAAATTGAATTTACGTTTTCTTTTCTTTTCTAACGATTTGAAGTTGCATTTATATTATTTATTTTATATAATTGCTCTTAACTTTGCTTTTTTAATTCTTTTATACAGCCAGCAACATGCAATGCCTAAAATTTAGAGGTGTTTAGTGGTTTATGTTAGGCAAATATCGGAACTGGTTCGTTAAGTTTTAAACATTTTAATTTTGTTGGGGCATATTTATGTTTTGTGCCGTTCTTACCTAATGATTGAATAATTTACACTATTACGCTGTTTTCAGTAATAATGATTGATTATTGTTAGGTTTTTGTTGCGAATTTGCGTATTAGGTCATGCGATTAATTGGTACAGATTTTCGCAGATGATTGCCCCTTCCACTCTAGGCTAGTTTGTTCCCTACATAAGGTGATTCATATTGGCCTAGGGTTAGATCTTCAGGTATGCTGTCATTTATTACTTAATTATTTCCGTGTCCGTATGGTCTTTATTCACTATATTTACTTGTTGGGGTTGCTTTATAATGCACTAATTTAATGTTTCTATTAAGACTTTGGACAAAAGGTACACTGATTTTCGTTGTCCAAGTAGTAAATCTTTGCACTAACTTCGCCCATTATTTTCCTTAAACTACACTGTATATATATGAGCGATTTTTATGTTTCCTTAAAACTTATTCTTAGGTACACTTAAGAGCGATTGAATTCGAGAGCACATTTACTCGACTGGCCGTACTGGTACTCCTAATTAACATAAAAAGATAAGTTTATTCTATATCACATATTTCATTCACGCCTAAGGGTAAGTACACGTGTCTTGGCCTATACCTAATTATAAGTATAAGCCAGGACACGTGTACTTACCCCAATAATATTATAACTGCGAAAGTCTGTGTTACTTCTTCAGGCAAAAACTACTAAACCGATTGTGATAAAACTTGGTATGTAGAGAGCTGGAGACCGAAATTTCCACGGTATGGGGCATCATGCGGGTGAAACCGCAGTGCACAGCTAATTATTATGTAAGTAACAGTAAAAAATTATAATATATGGCCGTTAGAGGGGCGCCGATGAGGTGCTTGCCTAGGGCGCTCTCGACATTTAATCCGCCTCTGATTATAATAGTAATATCAGTTGTATTTTGTTTGGAAATAAATAATTGTCGCTTTTCTTTAAATACATACATACATCAGATAGTAGTTTTCATAAATTGCAGAAAGAAACCAACCAACAAAAGCCCATTTTTTTCGTCACATAACATCACAAAATCCACCTGATGAAATTATTAAAATATATCCCTTAAACCTCCGTAAGTCCAAAATCGGCATAAAATTAACAGATAATTTTAAAATTATTAAAATCTTTGATAGCTTTTTTCTCAGTTTCATCATGGTGTGGGTTGGTCCCATTCTGCAGAAAGCCGTCCAATTGTACTCTTGAAATTGTTGACTTTCTATATAGTCATTCCATTTTAAAACGTCCAATCAGTATGCTGCATGGTTTTAGATTTTCATAAAAAATGAGGATGATCTTTTAGGTGTCAAGTACAAACAACACCTTTTTAATTTTTTTGATTTTTTTGTTGAGCCACATCTTTTTTTAACATTTTAATTATTGTGATTTGATTTATAATCACTATAGTATAGTAAGTGTGTTTTGATTCTTTATTGTAAAAACATATTTTGTACATTTCAACAATGAACAATAAACCAATCAAAATTCGTTAAATTTACCAATTTTTGAGATTTTCAGATGGCTACTTATTTTGGAAAGCTTATTTTTTTTAAAGAATTAAGAACTTGTATAATAGAATACGTAAACAAGGTTTAAGTTCAAATTTTGATTTTCTTAATGAAGTTTCAAAATTGGCTCACTTTGCACTCCAAAATCATTGGGAAATCGGTAAAAACTCAATCACTGATTTCCCTTCAAAAACAAATCGTTCCACGGTTTTTTCTCTCAGTGTTTTAACGGCCTTACTCTCAAAAACACTCATTTGTAACATAAGCGTTTGACAGTTGCTTATTAAAAGTTGGCGTTTTGTTACGATGATGTCGGTTTGACTTGTATAGACGTGTCAGAACTGTCAATATTTAAAAAGTGAATTATAGTATCAACACTTGAAGTTATAATAACGGCCCTTCATTAAATATAACACTTGGGAAATACAATTTCCATAAGTCACCATGAAGTAAAAAATTCAAAACAATCATTTTATACCTAAATTATCATCCTCAACTTTTGTAATAAAAACTAAAACCATGCATGATTGGACATTTTCATATGGAATGACTTGATAGATAGAGGCAGATAATTTCGAAGAAGACCTTGGCGTCAAATTTTACAGATTTTAACCTAGCGACTATTTCCTGCAGGGTTGGCACGAATTAATTCATATGAATTAAGTCAGTGATTTAATTCGCGAGTTAATTCAATAGACTTTTTTAAAAAAAGTCACGAATTAATTCAATGTTTTACAATGGGAACAAATTGTTATAAACTTTAATATATATAAATATATACAGGGTGTTATGTAATTAATGTAATATTTTAAAATGGGCAGTCCCTTAGGGTCCATAAAAAAGCACCTGAAACTTTTTTCTTCTAAATTCTAAAAATAATTTATCCTACCAAAAAGTACGCCACTGATCGACTAGGAACTTTAGGCTAATCTGGTTGCCTAATTTAATTTATTATGTTATGGTTGGTAACAACCAGCGCGCTGGTTGTTACCAGATTACAGCGTTTCCAGATTCTGTCAAAAAAGTTGCCAAATTTTGTTTAAATTTAGCTTAATATTAAAAAATGATAAAATAAAAACAATGCAAATTGTTAATTTGACGTTTTTATTAATTGTTTATTATGTATGTCATTTTTGTAATGAAGGTAAATTCAAACAAAATGTGGCAACTTTTATGACAGAATCTAATGCATTTCTTTCAAATTTTAGGTTATGTGCTCAAATTGTAAATATCTTAACTAAGGGAAGTGCTTTTGCATTTATTTACACATATTGAATGTTTAAAGTTTAACTTACGAACTTGTCCTAATTTCATCTGAGTAAACAGAAAGAAAAAAAAAACGATAAAAAAATTAATTTTGTGGTTATGGAGTTTTTAAAATAAGTACTAAATTTTCGAATCATTGCTTAAGCTAATAGCTGGATGAGTAAATAAATACAGAAGGGTATTAGAAAAATATAAAAACTTCTTATCCAAATTTTTTCTTTATTTATCATTGGGAAAATATTTTTCCGTTACCCCTTATGTCAAAAGGTATTCAGTTTTCAGGGTTCGCAGCGAATGAAGCAAAAAATTTAGGGCACTTTAGGGCACTTTTATTTTTAACATAGGGCACTAAATTAGTGCCGATTTAAGGAAATTGTTGGAATAATTTACCTTATACATAAACAAATTATACCGTTGTTTTGTACATACCTAATTACTAGGGCATACAATCCCGGGCAAAATTAGGATTTCTTAAATCCCGGGAAAACATTTTTTTTAAATAATTTATTATTACTAAATACTTGAAACCCTTTTTTATATAAATAATTTGGAAAATAAAGAAAAAATATAAACAACAACAGTTAAGTAATATTAATCACTTATTTAATTACATACAACTTACAGTACTGTAAGATGTATGTAATTAAATAGTGATAAATTTTACTTTCCGATTTTTTTGAAATATCCCACCTTTTGTCCGAAAGTCCCAGGATATCATCAAAAAAATCCCGTGGATTGTATGCCCTATTAATTACACAGTAATTATTATTTTGGCACTATAAATGGTGTTCAATATTGCTAAAATATTATTTGTTGTTTTTTCATTTTGTCACAATTAATAAAACCACTTTGTACACTAACAAAAATGTTGGGGGCGTGGTGCTTGTACCGCCAGATTCAAAATGTGAATTGACCGTTTTATTATATTATGTATGCCGCATTTGGACTCTTCACTTTCTTAAAACCCTTGTACGCCTTCGCACCTAATTAACATTTAGTGTAAATTTTATTTACAAGCATTTAAATTTTTATATATCACAATTTAAAAAATAAACGAAAAATTGATAAAAAATAGGGCACTTTTGGGGCACCCTGAAAAAAATAGGGCACTTTAGGGCACTCGCTGTGAACCCTGAGTTTTTTAATATATTACATTAATTACATATATCTATGTACTATATGCATAACACCCTGTATAAAACAGGCTAATTAATTGTTTTTTTATAAATGAATCGGCGTTTTAATGGTTTAAGATTTTTGAAGAAAATAAAAACTTGTTTTTTTGTTTTTTTTTGTATTGTTTTAGTAAGCAAAAAAAAATATTTATTTAAGAGAATTAATTAAAAAAATTCTGATTTAATTCAAGTCGGACTTTTTGACTTTTTTATAAAAGTCATGACTTATTCCAACCCTGATTTCCTGTTTCCAAAATGACCAAGAGAAAAGAGATTTATTTAAATAATTTTGAACAAATTGCTTCTTGAAAAAACGACATACCTGTCCCTGCTGCATCTTCCTCTGTATCTGCTGCATACTGAGCGGATGCTGGGGGGCGGGCCTGTGAGGGCGCAAAGTCTCGTCGGGAACCTGACTGTACAACCGGCTCTCCTCGTCGATCTCCGAATAAAACGACTCTCGGCGGGCATCTCCGTTGTAGACGGACTGCGCCTCGTAGAAACCGCCGCCCTGGGCCGCGTTATTGTGCAGAGACGTGGTGCTGTAGTACGGCTCGTAGACCGGGTCGTAGCGCCTGTTGCTTTTGAACTGACCGAGCTCGGAGTTCACCACGTAGAGGTCGCTGCGGGGGCGGTTCGTTTCTTTCGCTGTGATGTTCGTGTCGTACCTAGGGTTGGGAAAATTTCACTTTTTGTTTGTACTTGAAATTTCACTTGAAATTTTCACGACATTTATGAAATTTATTAAAATTTCCTAAATGTCTGAAATTTCATGAAATTTATGAAATTTATTGAAACTTTCAATAAATTTCAATCACTAATATATTAATATTGAAATAAGCTCACTCGGTGACCATGGCAAATTGCCTCTCTTACCTCCTACCCCTCTGTGGGCCCCTGCACCAATAATATAAATGGGCGATTCTCTGTAAACTGGGCAACTCATTGTCTCAAGCTAATATTGTTCAGAAAAATAACAGATCATAAATATTTCGTAGATAACTTTAAAAGATAATAACCTAATCCACCTATGCTCGACGTTCAAAATCCAATAAAATAAACTTTAATGTATCAAAATCTTTTTTATAGTCCTTAAAAACCAGTCCCCTGACGTGTCACCAAAGCAAAATGGTCACTTCAGACTAAATTAATTAAAGACAGTAACTATTGGAATCAACCTAATTGTTTAATTATTCAACCAATATTGTTTGCTTGTTATAATTATTATTTTGTAATTCTAAAAAAGTCATCTAAACTTTGTCTCCGGATTTTATAAACAGTCCCCTGTATAGATTTTTCAGAAAATGCTCAATGTTTTCCAAAGTCTTAGGAATATTTTTGGTTCATCTGCCTTATACTAATAAATAGACCGATATTTATTCTTCGAATAATATTTATTAAATACAAAAAAAAATATAACAAAAAAACTTGCCTAGACAATTTCTTACTTCAAGTTGCCCAGTTTACAGAGAAACGCCTAAATAGTAAATATCTATGTTTACCACAAATTTCTTGAGATTTCCTTTTAAAATATTTTTAAAATTACTAAAACTAAAAGAAATATAGCACTTTTTGGTAAGCTAATGAGATTGTGCCACTTTCATTGTTTTATATTTATATATATTTATTTTTTTATATATTTTACTGAAATTTTACAAAAATTGAAGAAACTTCATCAAAATTTTATGAGCCAAAGGCATTTTTTATCCATTTTCCGATACAATTATAGCAAAAGTAAAAGTTTAAATTAATCATGACTTTTAAAAAAATTAATTTACAAATTAAATCGGTAACTGAATTAAATTGTTTAAATTAATTTATGCATATAAGTAAGAATAATTACTTATAGTGTATTCAAATCCAAGCCGAACTAAACAAAAACGCCCAGACGCTTGATAACTCGTTCTTATTGGTCGATTCGGAATCTGTTGTAAATTATTATTAAAGGTCCCAGGGGAGGCCGCATGTGAAATTTATGCGAAATTTTCAGTAAATTGCGAAACTTTCAATGAAATTTCTGAAAGTTTCACAGGCGATGTTGAAATTTTCGAATTGAAAATTTCATTTGAAATTTTTAAAAATTTCACTTTTCCAACTACCTAAATGAAATATTTCAAGTTTGAAACTTTCAAAGTTGAAATTTTCGTACCAGATTTTGTTCACCAACTTTTCCGTCTCGTTGTGTCCTGCCGTCGCATCGTAGTTTTTCGAGTATTGCTCCGTTAAGTTCGAGTAGGGGCCGTTTTGTACTTTGGGCAGAGTCGCGTTTTTCGACGGGCTGACAGCGTTGTTCTTTTTCGGCGGCGGTGGTTGCAACACGGGAATCTCGTTGGAGGTGGTCGGCGTTTTCGTTGGTATATTACCGTTGCCCAACAAATACGTTTCCAGTTCCGCTATAAACTCCTTACTGGGCTCCTCTCGCAACGATACACCGTTCAACCCATTCGTCACATTGCTGTGCACCGCTGTTGCCAGATCTTTCCGCGCCGCCGTCACGCTCTTCGAGACCGCTATGTTGTTGTCGGTTTGCGTGTGTATGAAAGACATCCTGTTCGAAATGTCGCTCTGTATGTACTGACCCTCCCGCCTCGTGCTCATGGACTTCAACCGCTGCAGGTTGTCCATCAGGGCGTTCGCCTCGGCCGGCGGTTGCTGCGGGTGGGCGATGGCGAGCTGAGGGGCGGCGGGGGGGAAAGGCCTGGCCGCCTCCGACGGCGGGATCGGTACGTTGGAGGTGTCGAAGGGGTCGTCGATTTGCGAGAAGGCCGACGTGTTGTAGTACGAGGGCGGTTGTTGGTAGGGGGGTGGGCCGCTGTTTAACGGAGGCGGCCCGCTGTCAACTGACGGCGGTCTATCGGACCAGTAATCCTCTGAAATTAATATTTTTCTGATATAACTAGGAGCAACTTTATGTTGCAAAATTTATAAAAATAGGCACCTAAATAGATAAAGCTTGTTTTGTAATTTAGGTACGTACTTTGCGAAAATAACTACTGGGCCTTTCCATCTCAAATCGACCAGGGAAAAAGGTCGTTATTTTTTAAGGAATTTGTACGCATGTTTTAATATAATCGCTTTCAAACTCTTAATTAAATTTGAATATGTATTAGGTTTTAAAGTGTGTACAGAAGTAAATAAATTAAGACGGCTTTGTAAATTTGTGTTTAAAAGAAGTATCAGATTTGACAGTTTGTTAGTTTGTTTTGCTGGTAAGTGAATATTAACATTTTATTTTACAATGAAAACATGCGCTAAAACTTTATATAAAATAAAATAAAAATAATAATTGAGGTGGTTTTAATCAAAGGGGTGTAAGTAATTGCTAAACATTTTTTGGTTTTAAAAATACTAAATAAACATTTTAAAAAGCTTATAAAAAGTTATATCTAACCGCCCCATAGTGTGGCCATTGTAGGGAATCTCTAGCAATAAAAAAACGAAAACGAAATCAAATGAATTTTTTTTATTTCTAAACATAATTAATCTGCGCATTAGTTTCTGGACCTCTTAATACTTATTACCCTTTCTGATGGAGCCTCAGTTAAAAAGAGTTTCGCGACTGCCTCACTCATATCTGTTAACCAACCAACATTTTTCTAAATTGTTTGTGTTTTACATTTCTGCACAAGTTTCTTGTGCATTCTAATTATTACTTTTGGGGATTTAATACTTTATTTATTTTAATAAAAGGGGGGTGTGTTTTGTATACAGTGCTTGCAAATCCAAGTCCGACCACACAGGAAAGGACGGCTGTTCAATACCCGCGTGAAAAGAACAAGGATAGAACGCCAAATAGAATTTGATTGGCCAGCCGGCAGGCTACGACAACGCATACCTATCGCGCACCTCGCAGCGTGCTTGACACGAGGATATTAGAACGAGAACTGCAGTGGTGCTAGCAAGAGCCTCTTGCCAAGCGGTAGTAATTTTAGTAAAAAAGATTATTTAATTAAAAAATGTAGGTACACGTTGGAACAAAAAGTTCAGATTTTAATCTGGCATTTTGCTGGTAATTCTGAACGAGAAATTCAAAGATTATTTGCGGGAATGTTCGAGGCCAGACCAAACAGAGAAACAATTCGACGAATCGTTAATAATTGCTTGTTCGAACATTTAATTTAATTTTTCAGTTTATTTATTTTTAGAGTTTTATTAGACCAGGGTCGATAATTTTTGAAACCAAAAAAAATAAAAGTAGGATGAAACCCATTGGAAAAGGAGAAGAATATAATAAAAATAAAAGGAAAAATAAATTACGGGCGATCTGACTTTGGGAAGTGGGAGGGGGGGGTTTTAAGGGTAAAAAATGGTTTATCTCGATTTCCGGTAAAACTACAAGTCCTATGGAAAAAAGTTAAATGGCAAAGTTGTAGGTAATAAAAGGATCTACAACTTTTGTAATTACAATTTTTTTACATAACCTCCAAATTTATGGGAAAAATTCAAAAAAACCAAGTTTTTGGTTTTTTATTTTTATCTTTTTCAAAAAAAAAATTTTTTCCACGAAATTTGGTGAAATCTTACCTTTTTATGTCCCAAATACACTGTAATTTATTTGATTTGAAATATTTATTATTTCGCCTTATTTTGACTTAATATCAAAAAAAAGATAAAAATAAAAAACCAAAAACTTGGTTTTTTGATTTTTTCACATAAATTTTGAGGTTATGTGAAAAAATTGTAAATACAGAAGTTGTAGATCTTTTTATTACCTACAACTTTGCCATTTAACTTTTTTCCATAGGACTTGTAGTTTTGCCGGAAATCGAGATAAACCATTTTTTACCCTTAAAACCCCCCCCCTCTCACTTCCCGAACTCAGATCGCCCGTAATTTATTTTTCCTTTAATTTTTATTATATTCCCCTCCTTTTCCAATGGGTTTCATCCTACTGTTATTTTTTTTCTCTTTTTACCATTTTTAAAGGCTTCTGCACTGGTCTATATTTTTATTTAGAGTTTTATTTTTATTTTTAGTTATTTTTATTTGAGAAATCTTTTTTATTAAGAATACTATTTTTGTTGTTGCCCTAGTTCTCAAGGAAAAAAATCAAAACATTTTATTTTTAGGATTCGGGTATAAAATATTTAAAAAGAAAATTAAAATGTGCATCTCCACTCCAACGCAGTTTGCTTAACACTAAATCATTTAGTCTAAATGCAGCCAGAGACTCTGGCCCAGAGTTGACCTCGCTTACAATTCGCACGCATCCGGGGCTCTGGCCAATCAAATTCTATTTGGCGTTCTATCCTTGTTCTTTTCACGCGGGTATTGAACAGCCGTCCTTTCCAGTGCGGTCGGACTTGCATTTGCAAGCACTGTATAGGTATATTTATTAAAAAAATGAGTACCCCAAACTTTTTTTAATAAATATACCTATATTTTTTTAATTTTTTTTTAATAAATATAGTATATTTAATATACCTATATACAAAACACACCCCCTTTTTATTAACACACATGGTATACAAGTCAAATAATACAGTTTATTTATTTTATTATTTTAACCAAAATTAACTTACATATACTTATTACATCTTTTAAAAGTAACACTAGCAAAAATACTAACAATTTTCATTTTACTCTAAAATCTTTAATATGTAATTTAATTTACTTACTTGAGAGCATTTCCGGTGAAACCAGAAGTGACAAAAATATGTTAAATATGCCAAAAAGTTCTAAATTACACTTCATATAGGTCACCCCAGTTTCATAAAAAAACCAATTTTTTTCGATGGACCACGAATTTACTAGAAAATAGCATTTTCATTAAAAAAATAATAATTACGAAATGACGAATTCAGCCAACTCAGGACTTTTGGTGAAAGTGGTTCAAATTATCAACGCCAAACGAAAAAAATATGAAGTAAAAAAAAAATGTGGCAATGTCAAAATTTCGACCTCAATTTTTTTGCCTTTTTTAGAAAAAACAATTTTTAAAAAATTGAGTGAACTGACTTAATTTTTTATATATTTTTTAAACAATTATCAACAATTTAAAAAAAAATCGGTAGAGAAAATTTGATTGAAAAATAACGACCTACCCATTTTTTCCTGGTCGATTTGAGATGGAAAGACCCTACTGAAAAGCAACTTTTAGGTAAAATTATTTAATTTATTATTGTACCTACAAACTTGTATTGAACAAGATTTTTATAATTTGAAAAAAACAAATATATTTTGTAAAAATACTATATACCGCCATAAATTTTATAATTTTTTAAAGCGGCGGCACATTCAAAATGTTTATATAAATAAGTATACAATTAAGTGATTTAAAAAAACCTTTTTTTCAATAAAAAAAAAGTTATATACCTAAAACAAAATTTTTTCTGAAAAAAAAACAAACCAATGTTTTTTTTAAATATAAAAAAACTTTAATAAAAATTCAAAAAGCGTTTGTTTTTTTATGAAAAAAAGACACCATGTTAGCATACAAACTCCTAGGTTGGACCAAAATATTTCCCGACACAAGAAAAATGGAAGATTTCTATTGATCAGGGTAATTTGAGGCGATAATTTGTAATGGGCACGATATATGGGCATTTAATTTTTAACATTTCTTAATTTATTTTTTAAGCTTTAGGAAATATGAGACTAGTTTTAAATATTTGTTTTTAAAATTGTATTAGGTGTTAGGTATAAGTTTCACTTCCATACATTCTTTATTTGTTTATTATGCAATAATAATTTATGACTCCCATCTGGACAACCACTTAAGGGTTCGTTACAGAAAGAAAATAAGCAAGTTTTGGTTCATGTTGCTAGTCTTTAAAAAATATACCTAAAAAGAGAGCTTGTTAAAAACTTAGAGAGGAGAGTATATTTTAGGCAGTTACGTTTTACTCTTTGAAGGGACGAGTTGAATTCTTAAATTTTATAAGGGAGTGAATTTAGCCAATAATAAATTAATTTATATAAATTCAGTTTTGTGAAAGTGTTGTTTATTTATATAGGTATGTCTTTTCTATAATTATTTATAATAACTTAGAGTCACAAATATCATAATAAGTGGTTAATTATTTCATATTTAATTTAAACTATATTTTATTTGTTTATTTTATTTACTTCTTTGTTAAAGAAGTATATTTTGGGTTGTGGTTGGACAAACTTAATTACTTATTTATTATAATCATTATTTTATGTTTACCATTTAAATATTCACATTTTATTATTGTTATATTGTAATGCAATGTATCATGTTATTACATATTTCTATTTAACTTTAACATACTTTGTTTTGTACAGTTTACATTATTTTGTTTATTTGATAAATTGATATTCTTTATTTAATATGTTGAGACTTTGTTGTCAATCCTGAGCCATGTATGGTTGGTCCTAGGATGTATAATACATTTATTTCGTTGTGTGTTTCGCGATCTTGCTATTTATTTAATTTTGTTAATCGATCTTTGGGGACCTACTAAGGGAGTAGACACTATGATGTGCGCTGAGTCTTAGCCCCTTAATTTATTAACAAAATATGTTTTATTATTATTGTTGTTGGCCAATTTAGCTATGAAGTATGAACATATGATGTTTGTAATGAAAGAGGCATGTGCATGTGCACGAGTATACGAGGGCCGTCCGAAAGTGAATTGAGTTAGGGCTAAGTTTTGTCTCATAGTCTCAGTTTTTATTTACTTTGATCATTCTTTTACGCTACTATTCTCCAAACTATTATATTTTATATTTTATGAACTTAAAATGTTTTATTGATATTTTATGACTTTATACATTTAAATGTATTTATTATTTATGACTGTACACAAATATTATTGCATTACGGTTGTCCACCGCAATACCACTTGTTATTTATATATTTTATTCACCACTACTATTTATTATGTTCTCTGTGACTTAAGTTACATGCTATTTTATTTTACACATTGTTTTGTTTGTTGCTATACATTGATAATAGTTTCAATTTGTATTTGCTATTTAAACACCGTCCGAGCCTAACATTTATGTAGGTGAATAATCTTAACAATATGATAATATGATTGATGATATTATATTTGATTACTTGATTACTTTGATTTTGTTATATTATTTATATTGTTTAGATGTGCGACACATATGCATGTCTGGATTGTATATGTGGGTTTTTAAGGTTTTACGTTATTAACTTAAATCAATAATACTTTTCAAATACAAATGTTTTTATTTATATTATTAATATACAGTAGCAATAATATTAACTCTTTTATTAATTGTTTTTATTAATAAACTTATTTTAATTTAATACTTTTTCTTTGCTTTTTAAATATCTTTTCAATTGCTCAAGTACTTACGTATCCAGAACCGTATTCACAACAAAAAGGGGTCCTAATTTAATTTCTTTAAACTAGACGATCACGTGTTTTGGCCAAAGGTAGTTTTTTTGTGGTTTTAATATTCTTTTTAATTATTTATTAATGTGTCCCCCCTTGTCTCCGTTCGTTACAAATTTTAAAAAATTAAAAAACTGTAAAAATTTATAAAGACATTCTTACCGTCTTGGGGCATGTCAATAGGTTCGTCTAATAGAGACAACGACCCGGTTTTGGTCATTTTCCCGTTGTCAATCATCATCTTCGACAATTGCAGCTCTTCAGGAGAAATGTCGACCAACACCCCCTCCCTAGTGCTGTCGATTTTCGGTTGTGGAGGCCTCTTCGGTTTGCTTGCTTGCTTATTATTTGATACGGTGCTTTCGTTGGATAGTTTTCGGTATTGAAATTGTTTGTCAGACGATTTTCGTAGAGAGCCATTGATAGCTACAACATTAGTTCAACATATTCATTACTAAAAAAATACAAATAAGGATTTAAAATGAATAATAACAGCAAAGTTAGAAGCATGAAACATAGACAAGCCAAGTAAATTTACTTGAGTAGATAATAACACAAGAAATATTTAGTTTTTTATTAAGGATAAACGATATTAGTCACTATAATAAAATGCTGAAAAAATTCAAGGTTGTAGCACCAATAAGACATTTACATAGCTCCAGTAAGATTGTATATATAGTTTTCGAGTAAAACATATAAAAAATGCTCAAAATATATGGGCTGTATCATTCCAAGTAGCACAATAGGTTAAATAACTAGTATTCTAAGCAGGGTTTGAAAAAATTATGATTTAAAAAAAAAATCAATGATTTTTATTAAAAAAATCAAAAAAATCAACAAAAAACGATTTTTATGATTTTTTTTAAATTATAAACTTTTTTTAATATAGTGTACTATTAAAAAAAATACTAAAAAATACTTGACTATAATAATTGGAATATTGGAACTATTTTAAAAACAAATAAACCACCGTCCGCAACTGTCATATATTTTTTTGTATATTCCTTTATTATTTTATTTAACAAAATAAGGAGTTTTTCTATACACATGAATTTATTTAAAGAGTGTCAATATATTATTTAAATCGTGATTTAAATCAAATGATTTAAATTAGGCGAACCCTGATTCTAAGTATTCTAACCAATTGGTTAATTCAACCATTAACATTTTTTAAAGGTAATTATGGACTTAAAAATAACCCTTTAAATTTACCAATTCCCTTAAGGTAAATTTAAATGTTATTTTTTAGAACAATTTAACTATTATTTTTTATTATTGGTAATATTACAAGTTAAATATTTGTTGTTTTTATTGTCAATTAAATCTCTTAAAATAACCAAAATTTAGTTAATAAGTAAGTTATTTTGGAAGTTACATAAGGTTATATTTACTCTTAATTTTACCCAACGAAAATGGTTTAAAGTAGATATTTTTAATTTAACTTTTTGGTACATAAATAATTCGCTATTTTAGTTGTTGTACAATGTATATTCTAACAAAAAAAAACGCTATTAATATTTATTTAAATGTTAATTAAATTAATGAGGTACCTTATATAAACAAACAATGAATAAAACATAATATTAATACTTTATCAGAAAAAAAATTCCCCATCATTAATTTTTATTAGACCTGTAAACTAGTCATATATATGTAACCTTATATATTTAGTACAATATAGTTAAAATAAACTTAAACCGGTAAATGTTTACACTTTATTTTAAGTTACATAACTAAAGAGTTAAAAAAGTAGTTAAAAAGGGTAAAATAAACCCAAAGTTACCAAATGTTAACTCTTTTTTTAACCATAAGGTAAATTAACCAAAAAGTTAAATTAACTTAACGTAACGTTAATTTAATCAATTTAAAGTTATAGTACAATATAAATTAATTGAATTAAGCAGGCAAAACGGTAATTTAACCAGTTGTGCTAGTTGGGATTGTTTTTATAAGTGTTTACAAATAATGACTAAACATGTATTTGATTAGTTGCATATAAATTGATATTTTTATAAAGTTAATATGTTTGGCAATTTTATTGACTGGGATTCAGTCCAGCAATTTTTTCATTATGAATAGGAAACTCATAGGCATGGTATATTTTTTAAATGTTTTCTGGAGCAGAGATAGAAAGCCATGACGAAAAGCGTTACACTTAGGAATGATTGTACCTTGATTTTTTTTGTAGATTATTCTTCTTATAAGCTCTATTGTATTTAGGTATTTAGGTTGATTCGTGGAAAGATTATTTGTAATTCGGTATGCTTCTTCTAATTAAATTATAAAATATAAATTATAAAAAGTAATAAATTATAAACTTAGAGTATATAACACATGGATAAGACACTGGAGTACATAAGGTCGCGATTCAAAATCTTTGTAAAATGACAAACGTGATTTTTTTAAAGATTTTTGGTACAATCCACTAAATATATTTTATTTGGTTTTCAAAAATGTGATTTTCATAACCGAAATGTAGACCAAACGTTATCATTAATGTGTTTTTTATTTTAAATTAAAAAGTAATCACAATTTTCTTTTAAAATTTTTTATGAAATTGTTAAAAATTGTAAAGAAAACGTTTTCCCACTTTTAGAGAACATTATTTAAATGTAGATTTTATTTTAAGTTTTTTACGTTTGCTCGCGTTTTTATAGCTTGTTTAACATACTCATAACTTTACAGGAGTAGAAAAAAATTCTACCAGGGCTACTAATTCTGTAAAAATCTTTAAACTGTGTTTTTATTAATACTCTAAATCGTTGTTTTTAAATTATAATTGTGTTTTGACATTTTTATGGTTTTGACTGTATTACATTTCGTCTTCTAAATGGTCTTTGATTAAGTTTTATAATTTTTTTGTTTCTGACCCTACTAACAAGTCTTGATATTTTAAACCAAGTTTGACATTCTAAAATATGATTTTGACATCCGCGCCTCTATATATGTATTAGGGTGATTTTGACACTGAAAAATTGGTTCTTAGGCACCTCCAGAAAGTTATTATCAAATTTGAGCTCTTAATATTAATAGGAAGATCTTCCTCATCCTAGTTTTCCATTTAATGGTTTAATCAAATCTTTATACATATTTTTGTAGTAAATTGAATGCTCTACAAAAAAGGACTGATGTGTTTAAGCGATAACTCTAACCATTTAAAAGATACTCAAGATCAAAGTTTAAAAATATTTTTTTTATAATTTTGTAACTCATTGACAAAATTAATGATTATTAACATTATTGACATTTAATGATTATTATGGGTATGACATATTTTTGTATGAAATTTAACGCTCTACAAAAAAGGTCTTATGTTTTTAATTGATTACTCTAACCGTTGAGAAGATATTCGTTCAGTACGTATTGGGATTCGGATAGTAAAAAAAAATATTCGATTTTTTTTAATCACCCTAATATGTATAGTACCACAAAAACTAGTGATAAGCAAAATATCGCTAACGGTGACTTAAAAGCTGTTACTCAAAAATAGCCTGATTTTGCAAATAACAGCGATTGGCAAAAACAGCAATTTTTAAGAATAAGCAAAATCACTAAGTTTATTTATCAAAGGCTTTGGTCCTGGTAGCGCCAGCTCTGTTTACCTATTATAGCGAATTTTTACCATTTAGCAGTATGATACTGCTAAATGGTGATAAATGGCAATAACAAATATTAAAAGCTGCAATAACTGTTAGCAGTGTTAAGCAAATATCGCTCATCACTAACAAGAACATTATTACTCCATGTCTTACATTCTCTAATAAGACTATAACTAAACATTGTCGTACCTTTATGCGGTTGCGATTTCCTACGATCGCACAGCTGCGGCGACGGTTTGACCTCCCTCTTCATTCCCATGAGATCGGGCGGTTCCATCGGGTTCTTCAGGTACATGTCGTCGATGAAGGCGGGGCTGCCCCAGCTCTCGCCGAAGGCCGAGCCATGGCCCGTGTGGATGAAGGAGTTGTGCAGCGGCTTGCTGATGTCCTCGGACTGCTTGGGGCGCATCGGGTCCACCAGGCAGCGCGGCACGACACCAACGTCAAACGTCCTAAGAAAAAATTAATAGTTAAAAAAAACTAAAAGACTACTTTTAATGCACTAAAAAGTAGCAAACAATTTGCCATTGATAAAACTTTTCACTTCATAATGTTCATTGAACATTGTTTAATGACTATTTTGAGAAACATGTACTTTTTAATTTTTAATCACAAAAGGTTAACCATTTTAATTTTTATTTAACTTCCTAAATTGTGTCTATAAAACAAAATTTAGAAAGTAAAAACATATTTAAAATTTAATAAATGATTTTTTGAAGCATGAGACAAAAATTTCAGATTTTTTTACAGCACTGATTCCAAGAAAATACTTGTTAAAGGTACATTTGTTTTCATACTCCAGTGCACTTTGTATCTCTGGATAATAAATTTTCGAAAAAAATTTATGGGAAATAACACTTCTGCTTAAGTGTTATTTTCCATACATGCTTTCAAAAATTCGTTACTAAACTCAGCAACAATAGTATATGGATATCGTTTATCGAAAAGGAACTTAGCGCCAAAAACTTCTTCTAGGGAAAATTCATTTCTTGAAATTTTAAATTAAAGTAATGAAAAGTGTCGATTATTTTTAAACTAGAAAAACATATTTTTGTCAAAAAATGCGGGGTTTAATTCTTGCTTTTTCAACATTCTAAAAGGTGTTTTTGATAATAATAAAAAATATTTTAAGAAATGTATCTAAAGGGTGTTTTTTGCAATTCCAAATATTAATTATTTTTTTACATTCTGCAAAATTTCTTCTTTTTTGTAACATTCTAAAATGTTTTTTAATTTGGATTTTGCCCATCTTGAATAAGGCTTGTCATTTTACAATGTTTTTTGGTCAAAATACCTTTTTAAAAATGAGGTATTTTTTACATTTTATAATACTTAAGAAAAAGTTACTTTAAGTACACGTTAAGGCCGCGGTGCAACACAGTTGTCCTTGGAGGACTAAATTTTTAGGATTACAGAAAAATTTTGAAAATTCATTTCTTGAAATTTTAAATTAAAACGTATTTTTGCTTTTTCAACATTCTAAAAGGTGTTTAATAAAAAATATTTTAAGAAATGTATCTAAAGGGTGTTTTTTTCCATTTCAAATATTAATTATTTTTTTACACTCTGCAAAATTTCTTCTTTTTGTAACATTCTAAAATGTTTTTTTAATTTGGATTTTGACCATCTTGAATAAGGCTTGTCATTTTAAAATGTTTTTTGGTCAAAATACCTTTTTAAAAATGAGGTATTTTTTACATTTTATAATACTTAAGAAAAAGTTACTTTAAGTACAAGTTAAGGCCGCGGTGCAACACAGTTGTCCTTGGAGGACTAAATTTTTAGGATAAAAAAAAAATTTGAACTTTCATTTCTTGAAATTTTAAATTAAAGTAATGAAAAGTGTCGTGCTACAATATTGTCAAAATTTTTTAGATTATACGCACCGTAAAAGTATACGAGCTTGTAGCTAAGTGATTCATAATTTTTTCGCAAGACTGTACCCTTGGAGACGTTACCTATACGTAGGGTTTGGATTTTGACCGGTCAAAATCTTTTGTGGTCAATTGACACCAGTCAAGTTCCTTAGTTTTTTCTAAAGAAATGAAGGCACGAGTAAGATTACTTAATTTTAAAAAGAAACATATATTTATTGAAAAACAGCTAACAAAAAATAAAGAAACCATTCTGAGGTAAAAAAAAACATTCATATCATTGTTTTTAAGAACATTCACGTCTAGCTCGCAGCAGAGCAGCAACACCAGCCCAGCAGATAAGACCTGAAGATGGTACATGAGATTGTACCGAAACGTCGTCAGACATACGGTTCTTTTAAGAACCAAAAACCGACCACACGATGCTAGCATGTGTAGATATCGGCACATCATCCTCGTCACTGAACCCACCCTCGCCATTGTCTTTACTCTCTTAAAATTAATTAGTCAAAAATGACCCAGAACACTATTTAAAAAGCATTATCATGATTGCGCCATGGTCCACTACCGAAATTTTTTTTAATACTTTTGATATTTTCCGCAAGGTAACGCCGCGACCGCGCGCGGTTGAATTAAAAGTTTTTGACCGATTTTAACATTGTCAAAATCTCTCCTGTCAAAATAGGTAAAAATCTCGGTCAATTAACGGCGGTCAATTGACCAGGCACAACCCTACCTATACGTTATACTTTCACATATTTTCATAAGTTTTAATCCGGCAACGTCGCTTATGCGCAACCAATAGATATATTGGAGACTGAACAGTCTGTTTGAATTTACTGCGCAAATAATATCTATACTCGCGTACAGCGTTGCCAAGTTGTTTTTATCTGACTCACTAGTATGTATAATTTTTTACAAATTGTTGAACTTTAAACGGTTATTTATAAACAATTGGACGGTCAAAAATTTTTTATTATTATTTTTTTAACCCAGCAAAAATACATTAAAAGACTGTTAGTTTTTTGAAAGCTTCTGACAGTTAGTTTTTTTTATAACTAAGAAACTGGTACAGAACTACAGAAAGCGTATACGTATATGTTAATTATCCGATTTTTAATTGAATTTATCTTGGGTTATAGACGGTCAATCGACTTCAAAATTTAAGGATAATTGTATTGTCATGTCCTTAATAAGTATACAAAAATTTAAAATTTTCTGATGGTATGCCTAGAGCACGACAACTACCTTAAACTACACTCACAGGCAAAATAATCGATCCACACAAATTTTCGATGAATTTCAATGGCAAATAACGTTTTTATTTGATTTCGGATTTAAACAAATATTAAATAAATGGAGGTGTGACTGAGTACACGTTATTCTTTGAAATAAAAAGAATTTTTCCTTTTTGTATGATCGTGTATTGTGAAAGTTTTAATTTGCAGAGCGCTTTCGGAAGTTTTATCACAATTCCTTTCAAGATAACTAACATGATCTGCAGATGTGTTAAAAAACAAAAAGAAAATTTAAAAATAGCACATAAAACTAATACGAATTTAGCATTATTATTAATTAACAACAAAGACAAAATAGAAACACTTCAAAAAAGCGGAATTTACAAACTTTCATGTGGAACTTGCACCTGCACATAACTAGAATTAATGAACATTTAAAACGGAGCTCTTCAGCTTTCGGAGAACACATTAAAAGCTCAAAATATTCGTTTAGTCCTCGAAAAAACTCGGAAATATTACATATAACCAACACTAGAAATTTAACAAAGCTAGATTTCTTAGAAGATCTTGAAATTGGGAAAGAATTGAAGTGCAACTCATTCTGTCTTAACACTCAAGTCAACCTCAATAGAGACTTTATACCTTTACACAAATATGTCATGGATTAAAATAAATAAATCCTAATTAGGTTGATTTTATGTTCGGAGTTTTTCACGATGGTTTTTAATATGAGTTAGTTATCTTGGGGAGCGCATTTCTGGATTTGAATTTAAAATTAATGTTCATTACACCACCTGTTGGGCATGGGAGGAATCTGTTGTTTACAGAAAAGTTTGCTAATTTTGTCTATATTTACGGTCAATAAAAGCGGGAAATTGATCATCTGTCATCAAAAACACCTAACCTAGTGTAATTTTAAACACACGACATGAAGATTTTTGTATAATATAAGCATATCTGTGGGTTATATGTATAGTACTATTTTGAGTAGCTGTAAATAAAAATGAACATAGACATATACTCCTGTCAACTGACAAGTAAGTTTTTTAAAAATTCAATGTTACTTAATCTAATTCCTGTTTTACTTATCAGTTGAAGCACTGAAGATGGCTTAAGGCCGAAAGCGCTCTGCAAAGTAAAACTTTCACAATACACGATCATACCAAAAAAAAAAATTCTTTTTATTTCAAATATTAAATAATATTGTAGATACATTAATGGAGAATCCCTCACATTTTAAAAATTACTAAAAAATACACGTACGTTTATAATATACAGGTTTAAACAAAAATATGTTTTTTACCATAAGTTTAAGACACTCTGTAGAGTGGCAAAACCGTATATTGTTCTAAATTAAGTTTTAATTATTAAGTCAGATCTATTTTTAACAGTTTTGTTTTTGGTTCACCTTGATAAATTTATTTTGGTGGAAAATATGGATATTTAAAAAAAACATTGCAATTTGCAATATTTTTTCTGTATGAAGAACTAAGGTTGCTATGGTCCATCCATAGCCTATGGAGGATGACAGTGGCAGTTTTGTTGAATCATCCCATACTTGGACATGTCAAATACAGCTTTCAAAAGTTATCAAATTGTTTTTTGTAAATTAATGTGTTAATTTTGAGGTGTCTTCTTACTTTTAAAAATGTCTCCGAATGATGTTGCCCTTTGTACTTTACTTCTTGTGACGTTTAAAACACTTGCCAAGTAATACTGTGACCGTCCATCCTGAATTAAATTAATGGCTCTGGCAACATCAGTTGGAGACATATCCATTTTTTAAAGTAATAAGACACCTCAAAATTTAAACATCAATTTTGCAAAAAACAATTTGATAGCTTTTGAAAGCCGTGTATGACATGTCTAAGTATGGGATGATTCAATTCACTGTCATTCTTCATAGCCTATGGATGGACCATAGCAACCTTAATAATTCTTCATACAGAAAAATATTGGAAATTGCAATGTTTTCTAAAAAAATCCATATTTTCCACAAAAATAAATATATCGAGGTGAATCAAAAACAAAACTGTTAAGAATAGATGTGACTTAATAAATAAAACTTAATTTAGAACAATATACGGTTTTGCCACTCTACAGAGTGTCTTAAACTTATGGTAAAAAACCTGTATATTATATACGTACGTCAATGTTTTAGTAATTTTTTAAAATGTGAGAGATTGTCCATTAATTTATCTACAATATTCTTTAATATTCGTTTAAATCCGACATCAAATAAAAAAGTTATTTGCGATTGAAATTCATCGAAAATTTGTGTGGATCGATTATTTTGCATGTGAGTGTAGAAAAACATACTTTTGTCGAAAAATGTGGGGTTTAATTTTTGCATGTATCTTTCCATGCAAAATTTAAACCGCAGAATCTCAAAAAAAAATATTTATGTATGTTATAAATGTTTCTTTGACATTGTGTTTTTGAGTATGTTAATAACGTTTAAAGTAATGTTTTACCTTAATCGACGCATTAAAACATTTTTTTCCTACCTGAGATTCTGGCCCTTCCACCAATAGAGATCGGCGCCGCCGTCTATGACGGCGATCTCGTCGCCCTCGTTGACCTTCAACCGATCGGGGTCGTCCTGCTTGCCGAGCGCCTTCACGACCGGCGTCGCGTTCTTCCGGAAGAACTCTTTGAGCGCGGCGAACGTGGGCCGGTCCTGCGGGTCGCGCGACCAGCACTGCAGCAGGATTCGGTACACTTCCGGCGGGCACGCTTCCGGCTGGTGCAGCCGTTCGCCGTCCTTCTCGATCTTGCGCAGGATCTCCGATCCGATCAGCCCCATCCACGGGTCTTCGCCGAAGGTGAACAGCTCCCAAACGGTGACGCCGAACATCCAGGTGTCCGAGGCCGGGGTGAACTGCCTGGATCGCAGGGATTCCGGGGCGCACCACGGGAAAGGGACTTTCTTGTGTTCGGTCATCACGTAGCAGTCTTCTTCTTGAGGCAGCGCGCGCATGAGTCCGAAATCGCCGATTTTAATCTAATTGAATATTTTAAATTTAATTGTTTTGTTTCCTGTTTTATGTTGTTATTTATTTACCTTGTCCACTGCAGATAACAAGACGTTTCTGCAAGCCAAATCTCTATGCACAAACCTTTTGTTCTCCAGATATGCCATTCCAGTGGCAATCTAATAAAAACATAATTAAAAATTTGTAATTTTGATAAAATTTATTTTTCAAATATTGTATGACAAATATTTGGATCAAAACAATAATATGGCACATTAATAGTTACATAAACAGTTTTAGTAAAAACTTGGTTTCACGATTTAAGAAAATTAGAAAATAATATTTAATAATTACACTGGTTGACTAAATAAAATTTGTTCATGTTTACCAACTTTTCTGGGGAGTTTGGGTGCGCTGATTCAAAAAATGACCATAATTTTGCTTAATTAGCTCTTGTTTTCAAGATATTGAAAAACCGACATGCATGTTATGATATTTTGTTAATCAAATACTTTAATCAAGGATCATTGGTAAGTTTTTTCCTTTGAAAATGTTTTTACAGAAATAAAATATTTTTTGTAACATAAACAATTTGTCTAATTTTACAAAATTTAGCATAATATTAAAGATTTTAACACAATTATAATTTTAACACAATACTTGTAAACCTAAAATAGATTGGATCAAAAAATTAGGTTTTTAAGGTACACTTTAAAAATCCATTTAACTTAAAAGATATGTTAGGTATATCCAAAGATAATACACCCCATAGATTGGAAACTCTCCCACCACTGCCCTCTAGAGCTACAATACCTGAACTATATCTATTTGTAAATTGCAGACATCTGTACAAACGCTATTTGCAAATGTCAATGTCAATCATAATTATTTATGTCGATCATAATTTTTGAATTATTAAATACATTTTTGCGCCTTAAAAGTGATAAAACGTGTTAATGGTTGTGAAATGTATTGTTGTTGGGTGCGGAAATGTAACCAAGTATTGACTAAGCCAAAAAGACTCATTTCGTTATTATTAAATTATTCTCTTAGCAAAAAGACGCATTTTAATTATACGTACATTTTAATTATACGTGCATTTTAATTATACGTACATTTTTAAGTACTATATCTCTTAAAAAAATTTTTATTTATTATATTTATTTAGGATTGCTTGTTTAATGGTAATTTAGTCCAGGCCAAACCCAGGCTTACTTATGGTTGTTTCAAAACCAAGAGTTGGCAAGATGGATTTTTCACAGTTGGTTAGAACTTGCCAAAAGTCCACACTCAAAAGCCTTGTACAAATTCCTATATGTATATGTATAAGTAGTCTGAACTAAATAACCAAATTTTGCAATATTCTCTTATTATTGAAAAATTAAGACTAATATTTTTTAGGTTTGCACTCCACAAACAAAAACATATTCATGTATACCGATTATGTATTTAATATGTACATATAGATGTATGTATTTTATTTTATATTATATTATACTACAATAAATAAATCTTATATTCATACTTGTTTTATTTAAAATACAGCTACTTCAATTTTTCGCATTGCTAAGGGTATTGTATACCTAGATGGCGTTAATTTACTTTAGCCTTTTGCCGCTAGTGCTAGTGCAGTTTCTATGGGGTGTATTATCTTTGGATATATCTACTTAATAAAATAAAATAGAAATATTTATATTTTTTTAAACGATATTGGGCGTATTTTTTTCATTTGCCATGACGTTTGTGGCAAAAATGAAAAAAAAATTTAACATTAAAAAAAAGTTCTTTTAATTATAATTTTTAATTGCAAAAATAGAAAAATAATTATTTTTTGCGAAAATCAAAATATCAACATAAAATATATTCTGGGGATTTTTAGAAAAGGTCAAAGATCAAAATTTTGTATATACATATACAGGGTGTCCTGAAATTAATGCACCATACTTTAACAGCAGATTGTATGTGCAAAAATAAGAAAAAAAGTCCCTATAAACATAGGTCAAGAAATGCCTCTTAAGGGAGCTACAGCCCCCAAAAAGAAAGCCCCTGAAGATGGTTTTTATTTAATATCTCCAAAACCGTTAAAGATATAAAAGTGAAATTTGGGGAATTAATTAAACTTTTTATGACCAATAAGACGTAACAATAACAATTTAAAAACTTTTATGAGGTTTGGGTCAAATTGATAGAGTTAAAACCACCTTAACTTATTTGTACGTATCTTGTACCAGAATTTGGTGTCAGATTATGAAATTTTAGAGTTTTGCACATAAAAAAGGTCATCTTGTTGAACTTCGATAACATACACCGTTTTCGCATAAAATCGATTTGAAAATTATTTAACGTGGCATAAAAATTCACAATTAAATCACAACCATAGAAATTGACTCGCGTGGTCCTTGGAATACGGCTGCCATGTTTAGGAAAAAATAGAATAATTCAAGACAGGTGACAGTTTCATGTAGTAAGTGACAGGGTGTTTCTACTTTTTTATTTATATTAGATAAAAACCATCTTCAGGGGCTCCCTTTTCGGGGGCTGTAGCTCCCTTAGGAGGCATTTCTCGACCTATATTTATAGGGACTTTTTTCTTATTTTTGCACGTAGAATCTGCTGTTAAAGTATGGTGCACTAATTTCGGAACACCCTGTATACAGGGTGATTCACCTAACTTATTCATTAGAAGTTTACAGAAAACGGAAAAGATATAGATTTAAAATTTGTATGGCGATTATAAGGCAAACTATTTCTTAAAATTGTTGTGCCTTATCACTTTCGGTGAAACCGAAAGTGATACCAACTTTGGTTTTTCAAATGGAACCATATAAATATTATTGCATTTGTAAATTCTACGTAGAATTCTAGAAATAATAAAATTTGATTATTTTATTTTGATTAATATTTAATTTTTTCAAAAATTTTGACATGTGAATGGTCTTACTAATATGGCTGTATTACCACTAATTGGTATGTTAAAAAGTTAATTTATAGTGTACCTGTTATCTAAGGAGAACCCTCTATCAAAAGCCATTAATAGTATATGAAAATTTTATACAGGGTGTCACTTTAAATAACAATAACTTTCTTTCAATTTTCACATCATTCAATACAAAATAATGTTTTTTATTGAAATGCTGCAGCATTCCCTATACCTAAAATGAATATTAACAGAGATATTACAAAAAAATGTAAAAAAACGCTTATTTTTTGTATTTGTAATATCAGAAGTGTGTGTTTGATTGTCTTTTATTTCGTATTTATAAAGTTATGTCAATGTCAACGTCTCTAAAAATTGTGTTACAAGCGTTTTCGGAATTATCCCATGAAGAAATTTTGAGAAGAACTTCTGGGGTAATCCGATTTAACCGGAAGTGATAACGCATAGAAAATAATTTTAAAAAATAGTTTACATTGCCTTATTATTACTATACAAACTTCTAATGAATAAGTTAGGTGAATCACCCTGTATTTGATACACCGCTCCCACGCGGTGTGACAGTTAGGATTATGTAACAAAACAACACTTTTTTTTATATATATCGCCTTCTGTAAAAAAATATACAAAACAAAACAAAAATTAAATAAAAATTTTATAAAAAATAGCCTGTATTGCTTTCTAAAAAGCCATCTGCGTGTAGTGTGCCATTTTCGGGATAAAAACGGTATAAAAAACATCTTAATAATAAAAAAAAAAATTGTATCCCAAACTCATATTAAAAAAAATTTAACCATAACTCAGGGCTTTAAAAATAAAAAATGAAAAAAGTGCATACGCAATAATATGAAAATATACCATAATTAATTTTGCTATTATAATAATGCTGCTTGCAATTAATTAATTGTTGGTTTCTTATATTTTCTCGGGAAACAATAAATTGACCCAATTTACCACAACATTAATAATAACGACCGGTTTTATAAAAATATAAATAACTATGATAAACATTTTGGATTTACCCACACAACTGCTGAAATGTTTTGTAAGTACAATTTTGTAATTATTATATTAAAAAAATTATATATGGAATGCAACAAGTAAAAGATATTGTAGTTAAATACTGAAAGATGTATTTCAATGTGCAACTCTTTGAACAACTTTGAAAGGCGTATGAACACGTGTCTGGAATATAAATAATGTACCATGATGGTACATTATTGCCACTACCATTTGAGCGGCAGATGGTGGCCAGGAACAAAGGACCACCATAACAATGAAAAAGTTTACAACCATGTATAAACCTCCTATCATTCAGGAATAATCTTCATAAATCTGCCATGCCAAGTGGATACATTTTAAATTAAATTTGCGTTATAAAATTTTCGGACACATTTGTATTCTTTTGTTTACAAATGCCACCAACAAACTTTTTTACTTTGGACGGAACAAATAAAAGTTGCAATTTGAAATACCAAGTAAATGTTTAAACAGAAAAAGTGTTCTTATTTGGTTAGGTAATTAAAAAATCTACCTGGGTGGAGTATTCACATAGCATTGGCACTGGAGTGTGTTGGCACTGTTTCCTTAAATAATCTAGTAGTGAACCCAGAGGTGCCAATTCCGTCACCATCATCATGGGTTGGGATAAAACCACTCCATATAATCTAAGAAAAAATAGCATGTGAAATACTAAAATTGTTGATCACAAAAACAGCAATAAAAATAATTTATTTTCTAAAATATCGCATTTTAAGCATTTATTACAAATATTAGATACATGAAGAAAATTATACTTTGTACTTGAAATTGGGCTTCCATGATACTCGGGAATTTTTATCCCGCCCTGGAGTCAAAATTAAAAATTGTGAGTAAAAACCAATTGTTATTAAATTAATATTTTATAATTTTATGTTTATTATGGTTATAAGCTAATTACAAGCATAATAAACAATATTTAAACAAAAATTTATTAACAAGTGTTTTTTACTCACAATTTATAAAAAAATCTTATAACCTTAAAACTTAAAAATATTGTTTTATAGCTGAAATAAACCCTGCAATACAAGAAAATTACTGTTTTAAAAATAATAAAGTATGTTTTGTTATATTAATTCATAATAATTTATTTTCTTTTAATGCAACTGTAAATCTTTAAAGCCCCAAATTTATTGAAATAAAAAATTATTTTGTTATTTTTTTGACAGAAAATAGAAATAATATATTTTCTGATAAAAAATATTGGAGATAAATTTTTAAATAATTCCACTAGTTAAAAAAAATAAAGCATACAATTCTTTATTTTGGAAAAAGAAATCGTCCATATTTTAAATAATCAGAGAGTTAAATCATTTAAAAGCATTTCAAAATATTTTTATTTGTTAATTTCAATTAATCTTTGTGTAATTTAAACTGTTTTTTTGACATTTATATATACAGTGTGACCCATTTGTTTGCGACTCACCCCTGTAAAATCTTTATTTATTATGCGATTTTGACCGGATTTGTTTTAAAGTGTACAACTTGATAAACTGTATTTTTGAAGTAAAAAACGCCATATTTTTACAAAATACATGCCTACTATTTCAGTTTTTAAGAAAGAATTTTTAAGAATTCATATTACTTAGCGATTTTTTTAAACAAAATCTAAGCACGGCACTGGATACACCACCCCTCAAAACAACACTATACTAAATTTTATTGAAAAATTTTAAGAAAAAAAAATGCACAATAATAACTACAAAAATTTATTTTGTCAAGTTATCCATGAAAAAAACATTGAAATAAAATTAAACTTAAGTTTTTTTTATTTCAATGTTTTTTCATTGGTAACTTGAAAGAATAAATTTTTGTAGTTATTATTGTGCATTTTTCTAGTTCAAATTTTTCAATAAAATTTAGTAAAGGGTCGTTTTAAGGGGTGGTGAATCCAGTGCCCTGCTTAGATTTTGTTTAAAAAAATCGCTAATATGAATTCTTTAAAATTTACTCTTAAAAACTGACACAGTGGGCCTTGTATTTTGTACTAATATGGCGTCTTTTGTTTCAAAAATACAGTTTATCAAGATCTACACTTTAAAACAAATCCGGTTAAAATCGCACCATAAATAAAGATTTTACAGGGGTGAGTCGCAAACAAATGGGTCACACTGTATGCACTGTACATTATATTATTTTTGTGTGTACAATCCATTATATACAATAAATTTATTTTATTTTTATTTTATAAACTGATAAAACTATTTCCGCAATTTAAAATTGATAAATCCTTACAACAAAAATTAAAAATGTTAAAATGATATTAATTTTATAAAGTACTCATTTAAAGAGGATTTTTTGGGCGTTGTTTATGAACAATATCATTTACAATTTAATTAAATGAAGTATACATAATTCTGTATCATTATAAAAAAAATTAAATTAAGATTTATTGTTCAAGATGGTTTTTAATATGCTCAAATAGAATTTAAATGCTCTTAAACATTGAATATTTTATTAAAAAACGTTTCTAAATTGTTCATTCTTTTAATGCTGTAAACAAAAAAGTCGTAAAATATGTAAAAATCCATAAAAATGTGGAAATTTTTACGCACATTAAAATTTGGCAACAGATGCAAACAATATGTACTTATTGCAAACCAAAGGTAATTTTTCTCTTACCTGATAAGATTAGGATGACTAAGCACATGCATAGCCTGCACCTCTTTTATAAAATCGTCGAAAATACCAGGCTGATTTAGCGCATCTGCCTTTAACACTTTTACAGCCACAGGAATTATTCTGCCAGCTGGATTTGTCCATTCTCCTAATATTGGAAAAAATCATAAAATAAATTTAACAGAAAAAAGTACCCAAAATTTTAATTTTTTAGTTTTTCTACTATAACTAAATACAGGCAATAGACTGAAATTTTTAAATAAGCTTTAAACTAAGTAACTACTTATACATAATATGAAAAAGACAAATTTTAAAATAAAAAAATAGTAAAAATTTATATTGTTATACAGCATAGTTTATTATTGGAATTAACTACACAAATCTTTTTTCACACAAACATAAAAACCAAGGCCATGCGCTAAATTTTCATTTAAAACAAGTCTATGAATTTTTTCCACATACCTCGTTTCACAACTCCAAATGATCCATCACCTAGCTTTACAGATAGTGTAATATGATTCTTTTCAATTAAACATGATGTAAAATCACTCAGAGATAAATTGTCGTCGTTTCTTTTGCTAGTTCCGTTTCTGTTTACTGGAATTAATTTGTTTATCAGGTTTCTTTTTTTCTGTTGAGCCCTTTTCTTTTTAGCTGCCTCCAGTAGTCTTCGAGCCCCTGAATTGAGATAAATTATGTTAAAAATACAGAATGTTACTGTAACTTTAACACAGTTGTTTGTATTTATAAAATACCTGGCCGACTTAATCCAATGTTTTCTAAATCTTCGGGTTTTACATGGTCAAAGTGTTCCAAACGGGTAATTTGTAAATCATCCCTTATTGGTACAAGGAACTGGATTAACTGAACATCCTGTAGAATATCCCTTAACCATTCAATTCCTTCGTCAGACATTTTTGGACTTACAACTAAAAAATAGTTAATTTTTATGGAATTGTTTTCCAAGGTAAATAATAAATAAATAATGATTTAAGTATTGGGTAAAAGACACATAAATAAGTATACTTTGAACTATATAAATATAAATTTTTGTTAAAAATATTGATAATTTACAAAAATATGGTGGTTGATAGGTAGGTATCCATGAAAAATTATAAATTATAAATTTTTTAATAAAATGATAATTTTTTGCTGTTAAATTTTAAAAATAGTCATTAGAGATTTTTAAATTAAATAAAAATATTTAAAATTCAGTTGAATGGTCTTTGAGTAATTGCAGAGACAAAATTTAAAAAGTTATACCTATACCAGAGGGGTAAACCACTTTAAAATGAGCAAGACAACATTCAACATTATATGGACGTTGTATTTCGATTTTTCTTTATCAGTTGTTATCAATAAGGAAAAATCCTTATTAATAAAAAATTTCTCTTGGCGACGCGTTGCGCATGACTACCCTTGTGATTGTTTTCCTTAGCTGTTAATTAGTATGCGATTTTTAATTTTTAAAAATCAGTGGTTTACCCCTCGCCTATCTTTATTGTTTTTAAATATTTTTTAATAAAAAATAATATTTTTTAATAAAAAATAATATTTACATAGTTTACTATACTTAAAAATACTTTTACAGTGGTTTTCTCAGCAAAGGACAATATTAAAAGTGAAAGTAACTAGTTTAACCTTACACAGTATCTAGTATTGCTGCAGAAAAACATAAAAATGCAACAGCTAATTCTTAATGTTGACAATTATAATAATTGTCTTTCAATGAAACAGGAAATCCCTTCTTTCAAAACGCCTCCCTAAGAAACTAAATTAAACCTTACTTACCAGCTAAACTTTATCACTTTATTGGAAACACCACCATCGAAACGCACTTAATTAATAAAATTAACTTTTTACATAAAAGTCCTAATAATAAACAAAAAACATTACAAGGACATGTCTGTGACAGCTGAACTTAGTTGACATAACCAAACAATCGCGACAGGTATCGCGCTATCTAGCGTACAGATTATCAACTGATAGTTTGATATGGTACGCCTAGATGGCGATAAAGATTTTTTTAAATATTTTTGAATTTATATGTATTAAAAGGTGTCTTAAATATTAATTATTGGTAAATAAATAAATTCGAATATCGATATTGGAATATTGATAGAAATACTTTGTTCTGAACAAACATGTGTTATATTAGCATGCATATATACCTACTATTTACCATAAATATTCTTATCTCCATAAAAGTAAATACCCAGTTAGTAATTCTCTGAACTATACAGACACGTTGTTGTTACAATATAAAAATTGTAAAATGAGGGATCGATTAGATTCATTAAAGGTAAATCAATTTATTCAAAGTTATAATTATTGTGATTGGTAAATTAATTTTAATTTTTAAGGGAAAGAAGTCTCAAAAAAGCAAACCTATTAATAATGAAGCAGAAATTAATATGGATGAGACAACGGTAAGTAAACAATTTATATACATGGTGGTTCCAAAAACCAACCAATAGTTTCGTATTTAATTAGTTTCAAACTATTTTTTTAATTATTTTTAACCAATATTATTTTGCTCTTAAGTAGCTACTAGGTACGTGCCATTAGGTATAATGATGCAAATAAAAAAAATTAAATTACTTAATTAATTTATTTTTTAAACGGAATGTAAACTGTGATACCGGCAATTTATAGAAACTTTAAGGGAATTTATTAATTTTTTCTAGTAATATACCTATAGTGGATAGGTTTTTAGTGCATTTTATATAAAGATTAATTATTAATAATTAAATATATAATATATATATACTATATTTATTTATATATATGTATGTATGTATACACTGCGCGTCAAAATTAACGCATAATAAGTAAAAAAAATCTAACTCTAAAACGCCTTTACCAATCTTTTTGAAATTTTGTATAAGAATACTTCAACTTATATCTCAGTTAAAGTGTTCGAGGGTTTTTCGAAAAAATATTTTTAAAGCCTTTATTTAATATAAAAAAAACGCTCGAAAAAAACTTTTATAGGGAATTTTTTTAAGTAAATAAAAAATATACTGTTAAAGACCGTATTTTTTTTAGTATACCCTGAAAATTTTGTACAAATCAAACGAACAGTAACGAAGATACAGCGCTTCATGCAAAGTCGGTAAAAATGACCCCTTTTTGATTATTTTGCTTCGTTACTGTTCGTTTGATTTGTACAAAAACGTTTTAGAGTTAGAATTTTTTTACTTATTATGCGTTAATTTTGACGGGCAGTGTATATACAGGGTGTCCCAAAAGTCAACGATATCCTTTGAAGGACTCATAGGTCAGCTCATGACTAATCAGAATATCAAAACATGACCTTGGTAAAAAATCATTAGTTTTTAAGATATTGGCATTTTTATGAATTTTGTGAAACTTGACACAAAAACCCTGAATAGGACTGCTATTAATTACAATTCAAAATTAAATTAATAGCAGATTTTGTAGCTGTGGCACTCGAAAAACTAATCTAATCTAAGGTGTCAAGTTTTACAAAATTCATAAAATGTCAAAAACTAACGATTTTTTTACTAAGGTCATATTTTGATTTTCTGCTTTGTCATGAGTTGGTCTATCAGTCCTCCAAAGGATCTCGTTGACTTTTGGGACACCCTGTATAATATATTTAGTTTTTATATTGTTTAATTTGTTCAAATCAAAAAAATAAGAAAAATAACTTTGGGGGTACAGTAACTCAACTACTAGCAGTAAATAACTTATTTACTGCTAGTAGGTAAAATTGTTAGTAAAATATATAGACAAATTTATTATTTTGAGAAAAAATGTTTTATGCTATATTTTAACAGGAGCGTTCAAACCCCCCCAGTTTTGGGGGTTTGAACCTCCTTGAAATCTGATAAACAGTTCTATTTGAGATATTTTTAGAAATCCTAACAAGTGTTTATAGTTTTTTTACTTTACTCTTATAAAGGGGGGGGGTTGGTAATATATATTTATTTATTTATTTATATATATATTTATTTATATACAGGGTGTCCCAGAATATTTGGGCAATCTCCCGGATTTAGATAGAACACATAAAAATAATATGACAATTTCCTATAATTTTTTTTCCTACGGCCCCACCTACGGAGATACTAGCCCATAACGGAAGCCCCTGGAATGAAGAAAAACATCGAAAATATCAAAACACTCTATTTTTAACTGACACTAACATCATTATTTAAACCGGTAAATATAAAAAAATATTGCAAAAAGATAAAAATAAATTCAAAAAACCCTATTCTACATTAAAAGTACATTTTATCGATGTCGATCAAGAGTAACTTTTTTTTAGTTTAAGGTTTAAGTTGACTAAAAATATTATTGTTGGGCCTTTATAGTACAGGGTCTTAAAAAAATAGCATTACTCTGTTAGAGCTAGTCCATCCTTGACAAACTAAATAAGCCGAATGTGATTAAAAGTGCCCATTCTAAGGAAACTTTCCTAGTAAACAATATATTAAAAAATTACGATTTCCGTAGAGGGGGCCTTAGGATGAAGAAAATTATAGGAACTTGTCATATTATTTTTATGTGTTCTATTTGAATCCGGGAGATTGTCCACATATTCTGGTACACCCTGTATATATACTGTTTAAATTATCAAACATACATACAGTAGTATATATTATTAAAGCGCCCCGAAAATTTTTCTGCCTAATTAAAAAGCGATGTTTACGATTATTTTTTTGTCGAAAAAAAAATCGACTGAATTGACCAAAAATGCATCTTTTTAATTTTTTTTCATTATAAAAAACTATATATATTTTTTTCTATAATACAAAAATATTTATAAAATAATTTTATAAAACTAAAATGTACAATTATTGTACATTTTAGTTTTCTTACTCGTATGTTAGCAAAGTAGAAATTTCCCAAATGATACAAATGATTCATTTTTAAAAAATCTAGCAACTCTAGCCTAATAAATTGAACATAACCCTAAACCATATAGGTATCATTAAACAAATAAGATTTACTTTGAATTCCTTATATTAATAATTAATTTATTTGGTTATAATAATTACAAAGTAAAAAAAACTAATCCCGGCGCATTCGCCATTTTTTGCACATATTTATAAACTCGATTGACCTTTGTTTATTATAAGCATATAATAATTATAACTAGGAACTGAATATATGAAATTAGCCTTTTACAGATACTCCTGTTGTCACAATAAAAAATACCTTTGAAAGAACCGAAGTAATACAGCAATGGTTGGACAGCCTAGAAAGTAACAATGATCAAATTAGGAATAAAATAAGAAACTTCCATGCGACTTTTAATCAAAACGGTAAGTTTTCTTTTACCACTGCCACATACTACAATCTAAAGCCTTGTTTTTTAGATTTAAACCTAAAATTAGAAGACCTCTTCGCCAACAACAAAGCCATCTGCTTCAAAGTCAACAACAAATTAAAAGAATGCGAAGCAGAACTAAAAACAATCGACAACCATTCGGCGCAAAGCAGAATCAAAAAAATTCAACACAATGGGACGAAGAAAAGGTACATGGAACTCTTTAAAGCCAACATGAGTTTGATGCAGGACCACAGCGATAAGATCAAGCAGAAAATTATTTCGGAGACTGCCGCTAAAAATATTCGTATTACTCCTGAGGAGTTGCAGACTATCATCGATAACGGGCAGGATATACAGGTGTTTACTGATAATGTAAGTTTAATAATCATTTTGGGTTAATATCGAAATGGAAAATCAATGGGCAATAAAGCAAAATTAGTGTTGACCATTACTATAGTATACACAGTAAAAAAAACTCTAAGCAACACTAATTAGAGTTCACACAGGTCCACACTAATAGTGTTGTTTTATAACACTACAATTAGAGTTAATTTGTAGAGTAATTTTCCCCAAGTAAGCAAGTATGATTTAACACTATAGCACTGAGGATAAAGTAATTTTACATTGTATTAAAAAGTGTTAATTTACCTAAACTTGTGTACTTCTACACTTCCTGGGTAAAATCCCACTTTTGTTCAGTGTAAATTAACACTACTTTGGAAAAGTTATAATTTTAGAAAGGAAAATGGTTCCTTAAAACGTAAAAGTTTTAGTGGCTGTCAATTTGTAAACAATTAATTATCTTGAGAATCCATCAGTAATCCATTTTTCTGTTATAAAAAATGGGTGATCCCATTGGTAGAGAGGCGTCAGGCGGCTGTATGTCGGGGATTTTCCACACGTGATAAATTTTCCATAATATTAATAAAAATGTAGGTATAGGTTAATATAACAACCATTCGGCTTGAAAATAAAAAGTAAATCAAGTGTGTATGTATTTATATTATTAATGGTACAAGAACCAGATCTACTGCCGTAAATTATTGATATACAATATAGGTCGGGTATGGAAATATTTTTAACATATTGGTATTTATTGAGTATTAAGGCTTAAAGAAAAAGGAGAATGTCCTCTTATGGATTCACTGTAATTAAAATCTAACAACAAAAATGCCACACTTCCACAACGCGGTATCTCCGGATATGCACTGCGTAGGTAGATAGGTACCAACCAAACTTTTTAAAACGCATTTCGGTTATTACCAGTTTTTTTCAGTCTATTTTGCCACTATTGGTGTAATTTAACTTTAATAATTATAACAATTATTGTGATACAATGTGCACTAGCTACTAGTAGTGTAAAGAAAAAAGAGCTCTTAGTAACATCAAAACAAACAAAGAAATTGACATGCACTGTAGTGTACATTTTGTCACTATTTAACACGTTAAGGGGTAATAAACACTCGCATTAAGTTTTTCTACCCTTTTGATTTATTTTAATAATAAATAGTGTGAATGTACCAATGAGTAATGTTCATATTCTTTAAATGTGTTTAATAAAGTTAATAAGCACTAAATGCTATGCTAGGTATACCTAGTGTATTTTGTACAGTAACTTTTACAAATCAACTCTAATATTTTTACCCCTACACTAAAAAATTTACACGGGCAAAATTTTTTACTGTGTATTTCAGATTATAGCAGAGACGGAGGAGGCGAGACGAGTCCTCCAAGATTTGGAGGAGAGACACGAACACCTTCTGAAAATCGAACGAATGCTGATCGAAGTGAGGGATTTGTTCGTTCAAATCGGCATTTTGGTTGAGGAACAGCAGGAGCTAATCGACAGGATCGATCTGCAAGCTCAGACTGCGAGAGAATTCGTCAGCCGAGCTGATTTAAATTTGAACGAAGCTTTGGATAAACAAAAAAAATCGAGAAAGGTAACATCTTCTTAGAACGCTGTTAATAAGATTTTGAACACTTTTTGTTTTAGTGTAAAATTTGTATTTTTATAGCAGTTGGAATATTGGTATTATTATTAATAGGTGCCTTAGTGAGTCAGTTCAAATGAAGTATTAAAATAAATGTAATTTATGTTTAAATTAATTCAAATATTTATATTTACAAAATTGTGTTCATGATTTTAAATTTTGATAAACAAAAATTGAGGATAATTTTTTTTTATTCTTTACCTTTACTAGAGAATTTTAGTCCTAGGACTAAATCAAGAGACCTTTTTTTACACCAAGCCACTAACAAAATATAAAAATTTTGGAACTTCGATATCTTAAAAAAAATATTTACTTTTCCCTCTAAAATCGCAAGAAGAAGCATACATAGTCTAATTTCTGTTACACTGTTCAAAATTTCATGACCATTTTAACACCATACATGGTCTATATCGATACAAACCAAAATGGTGTTAAATATGGTTCGTTGGTCCGGTGTAAATTCAAATACTAAAATAGTTAATTTAACTTTCACACAGTATTAAAATAAATTTTACCTGGTGTAAATTGAACTCCTTTTTAGTGTTAAATATTCTGTGTTTTTAAATTAAATCATACTTCACAGAAAAAAGGAAAAAAAAGGAAACAGGGAGTTCCTTGACGCATTACTAGTATTTTACCAGTGGTAGTTTTATTCCAGAAAATTGAACCTTCAACTCGCTAGAGATAATGTTTTTAGTTCGTTCCACTAACTTAAAATACTTAAGTATTGACAGCTGTTTCCACCTATTTAAGGTATCTTTAGTATCGAACAACTTGTAGTGTCACACCAAAGCAAAGGACTACCTGAGCTTATATACTCTTCATGTAAGTCAACAGAGGCCGCGATCGGTACACACTATGCAACCGGGAATGCACGGCAAATTGTTTTAATCGTTTTAACAGAGTGCTTTAGGTTGAAGTAACTCTTATTTTACAAACAACATATTTAGTAAACTGAACCATACAGCGGGTTGGTTTCACTAAAGTTTTCTGGGTTAATTTAAAAATCTGGTTTAGTACCGTTAGACTAATCTTTGTTTATATTAACCTTCTCAGAGTTGATAAAAATTAAAAAAATACAAAAATAAATACTTATGGGTCAACTAAATTAATATAGTTAAATGAACCTTTTTTTCTGTGTAGGTGCACTATATATTTTTAGATAAACACCGTTTTGGTGTATGCTGTATATAACATTTTCAACCATAATTCATGGTGTTATATTAACACCACTTGGTGTTGGATTTTGACACCATTTTAAGATTACTCTTTACACCACAGATATTTTAAACAGTGTAGAAATTTGTTTAAATTTTATAGTCCGTGACATTATTTATTTAGTGCTATTGCTCAATATTTATATTATTATTTTTTATTTTTATTAAAATCCTTCAAACAAATGGAAATGACGTTAATGGCGAAGAAATTTGTAGTTTTTCCAAACAAACAACTCTTATCGAAAGCATAAAAGCGAGTAAACTTTGCGGCAATGGTCAAATAACAATAAAATTTGATTGTGACAATTATATTTCAATATCGTTAGATTGTTGGTGAATAAAAATGTTATTCGCGCTTATTTTGGCTTTTATAAGTTTATTTTTGGCGGTTATTTATATTTATCAAATTTGGAAAAAATTCAATGATTTTCGCGAAACCATCAATAAAATACCTGGGCCTAAAACGGTGCCCATTGTTGGAAATGTACTTCAATTTTTAGGACCTCAAGGTAAAAAATATTTTATCTTTAATATGTTTTTTTTAATTTGAGTTAAATTTTAGAGGTGATATTTAAAAAAATCAGAAAATTATTCAAGGAATACGAAAAAGAGAAAATTCTTAGAACATGGGTGGGACATATGGGCATGGTTAATATTTTTAGCCCAGAAGACGTTGAAGTAAGTAAAAATGCAATAATAAATAAACAAATTATGTTGTTAATATTCACTTTCAAGGGATACATTTCGATTTACATATAAATATTTGAAATAATACAGATTCCCAAGATGGTTACTCTACGGTTTTATAGATGTCACTCTATACAAATATTTAATTTAAATCATTTTTAGATAATAATAAGTACTTATTTATCGCAAAAAAAGTATATTATGCAACTCGTTTATAAACTTTTCTAGACACTCATTTAATTAAGCACTCGGTTGTGCCTGAATTAAATTTGTGTCTAGATACGTAACATACTATTATTGCTTAGTTATAATAGACAAAAACATGTATTTTTAATTAAAAACGTTTTTAAGTTGATTTAGTTCAAATTTCTATTAACAAGGCATTCAAATTTAAACATTTGTTGTAATTTAGATAATTTTGGAAAATCAAGCGTTTTTGTTTTAATTGACCTTAACAAATTTAAGATGCTTTGTTTTGACTTTTATGACGTTTTAAAATAGATACAAATAATTAATAACAATTATTTTCGAAATATTGTAAAATTATATCGTAATTTTAATTTATTTATAGATTTATTTATTAACTTTCAGCTATTAATAGCTTCGTCCAAAAACAATACGAAAAGCGACATCTACAATCTACTACATTGCTGGCTAGGAACAGGTCTACTGACGAGTGAAGGTACTTCTACTTGTTTTTCTTAAGTTGCTAATTTGATAATTAATCTATTTAAGGGAGCAAATGGAAAAACCGCAGAAAGATTTTGACCCCTTCTTTTCACTTTAATATACTACAAGAATTTCTTCCAGTGTTTATGGAACAAACAGATGTTTTGATTGATACTTTTAAAAGGGAAACCGATAAAAATATTGATGTTGTTCCTTATATCACCCAGTTTACTTTACATTCGATTTGTGGTAGGTAAAAAGAGTAATAAGGATATTTTTAATTGAATAAGAAAACGACTTTTTGTCTTGTTGGGTGTTTTTCAAGAGGAAAACCTGGGTTGAGTTTTTACCGGTTTCTCAATAAATCCAAATGAATAAATAAACTTCATTCAGTCTCTGTAAATATAAATTGTACCTATAATATACAATAAATACACATTTTAGTAATGATTTACGTGAGTAAACATTTTAATTCGGTAAAAATCATAAAACAAATAAGTCTTCTGAAAACAGCATTATGGATTATTAAAATCGTTGATCGAGAAAGTCTTCACCCAACGGTAAAAGCCCAAAAACGGGTAATAAATGTATTATATAATATTATGTTGCCATAAATTCGTAGATATATTTTTTCATTACTATTTTAAAATGCAAAAATAAAAATGTTTGATTTTAAGGTTATGTTTGTACAACTATTATTTTTTGTTAGATTTCTTAAAAATGTCCAAACTTATATTATTATTATATTAGGTAGTTATCATTAGTTAATTCTACACCAAAAAATATAATATATTATGTGCCGAAAACAAATTTTATTTTGACTAATCATTTTCTAAAATCAATTTAAAAGATATAGGTACATACACACAACGAAAAACGTACGTAATATTAATAAAAAAAAACATTAACGCAATGATTTTTTACATTAATTTTGCTCCGATGCTCAAAATCATTACCACAATGCTTTTAAAGTATTACTCAATGTACAAGGACGTAATATTAATGCTTGGCGGACATTGATTTCATTTAGGAAGATCTCAAATAAAAGTACTGATATTAATGACCATTGACATGGATTAATGTCCTAGTACATTAATTCTATGCCCAGTAAACATCAACCAATTAATAAATTTTTAATCAATTAACAATTAAAGAACATTATCCCAATCACCTAATATACATTAATTAATGATCTGTTAGCATTATCATAATGCAAAGAAGCATTAATAGTAGGCCTGAAATAAGGGATGGAAAAATATCGATATATCGATATCGGTATACCGGAATGGATCGATATATATATATATATACATATGTCCAAAAGTTTGGAATATTGCAATATTTCTTTTTTTATTGATATTTATATATATATTTTTTTATATAGGTAAATACCATTTTATAACGACTCCAACCAATAATAAATAAACCTCAAATACAGAGAAAATAGAGTAAATATTAACAACAGATTTTTTAAACTACCATAGGCATAGATATATTATTTGTAAGTATTCCAAACTTTTGGACATGTGTGTATATATATATATATATATATATATATATATATATACAGGGTATCTCAAAAGTCAAGGACAGCAGAAAAGGGGTGGATAGAGGATGGAATTTTAAGTCGATTGAAAAACGGCAAAGACCATTCGACTTAGAATCCCATCCTCTATCCACCCCTTTTCTGCTGTCCTCAACTTTTGAGATACCCTGTATATATGTATATATATATATATATAAATTATTACACTTACCTTAAGTTTTAACATTAAATCAATTTTTTTGTTGATCAGTTAACAAAAAGAGCTAGAAATTTGTAAAAAAAAATATATTAATAATTATTACTATTAATATTACTTATGTGGTAATGTTCTCTTTAGCCAGTTCCCTTTACAGAAGTTCCCAAACATTTTCTACAGGATTTATGTCCGGGCCACCGCAAAACTGGAACATATTTCTAGTCCTTTTTGTAAATATTATGAAACTAAAGATTAATATAAAAAAATAATAAAAACCCTTAGTAATTTAAAATCCTTATATTTATTACAAAAAATTTATGAAACATAAATAAACCTTAACTTTTTAACATTGTCCACTTACATTCTAAAAAGTCACATAATGCATGGATTTTGTAAAATGTATTAGAATGCTTCATTTTAAAAAAGTAGGTTTCAATAAATGACCAGACCATGACACAGGCACTTTTTTATATTTCATATAATAATAAACCTAAACGCACAACAATCGGGATGGGCGGGCAAGCACGTCGCAACAGGATTAACAGGAATACTAAACTGTTGTTAAATTGTTACTTGCATTTTTAGGTGGTGGGAAATACAGGGCCTAATATAAATGTATTTAGACATTGGCTCAACGTATTTGGCGATAAAGTTATGATTTGTTGTATTATTTAATATGTTAGGGCATTATATTCATGCTAAGGGTACATAAGTTGATGTGTATATAGGCATTAATTTAATAATTTTAGATTATTAAATTATACTTTAGAGTATTAATCTATTAAGCCTTGACATTAATTGTATCACTGAGCAATGATTAAGTAATGTACTCTAGGTTATTGATTTAATGTAAATAATCATCGTATTAATGTAAAATATCATTGTCTTAATGTATTTTGGCTAAAAAATAATAAAATTCTTGCACTAGGATAATGACCAGGCAGACATTGTGACAATCCATTAATACATTAACTCATATTTTTTAAGCATTATCATAATTACTTGATTGCATTAATACTATGAAAAGGACATCATCGTAATGATTTTGCACTTAATGATCGTAGGACATTAATATCAGGTACGATATTTTTTTCTGTGTAAGTTATTTTACAAAATAAGTATGATTATTATATTTTATGAAATTGTTTGATATTCTCATAAAAATGCATTTTGGACTATAACAAATTTTATAAAATAATTTCTCAAAATTTCAACTTTTGGACTTGTACAGGGTGATCCCTTATAATGTCGCCCCCTTTAACTTTTTTATTTTAAGTGTCCCAAAAAATTTAAAAGTGTGGGTCCTAAAAAATACTTTTTTCCTACGTATAAAGAAAATTGGAAAATTGATCAGTATACAGGGAAAAACAAAAAGTGTAATTTTTTTCAATGGATCACCCTATATATTTATTTATTTTTGGATTCCTTGTAAAATTCTAAGCATATTTCTAATAACATACTATATACCTAAATTCAATCGTTTCTGAAATATTTAAATCATTTTTAAGATAATAAGTTGAAATAGTTTGTCTTTCTCTGTCTGAACACGCCATTTTTACTTATTTAACAAGACATATTGACATAATGTCACTATAGTAATTTATTTTCAATAAAAATTTTGGTATACTGAGGCTTCTTGATTTCTAACAGTTTATAAAAACATTTAATGATGACATTTCGAATGCGAATATTTCAGAAACGGTTGAATTTAGGTATATGGTTTGTTATATGAATTATGCTCAGAATTTTACAAGGAATCGAAAAATAAATTCATATATAGGATGATCCATTGAAAAAAAATAATTTTTTTGTTTTTCCCTGTATATTGATCAATTTTTCATATTTTTTTATACATAGAAAAAAAATATTTTTTAGTACCTACATAACCACACTTTTAATTTTTTTGTGAAACTTAAAATAAAAAAGTTAAAGGGGGGCGACATTATAGGGGATCACCCTGTACTGTTCTTAATCTCACCGATTCAATTAAAAACACAATAATTCATAAAATACACACTAACGTAATTATATAAGCATATATACAGAATAATAAATGGATATCAAGTACTAAACCGAGCAAAGTGTTTCAGTTTTTTAAGCTGTGCAATTAAAACTTCGTGAACAAAATTTGTCGAGTAAGACTTTTTTCTACCTTCCTCTCTTTTGTGAAAAAACTAATTATTTATTTATAAATAAGGTGCAGTTCGTATGCTTTAAATGTATTGTTGACAAAACCCACAATAATACTACTAGTATTATTTCTATGCGAAAACCTAAGAACTAATATGTGAAAGACTTCATTTTGACGTCTTTTAAAACAAGTTCTTACTATTTTTCTATTTGCCAAAATTTTAAAAATAATTGTCAAATTTATATTGCGATTTATTGATTTATTCTAATTTTTAACCAAAATAATACATAACAGAATTATAAGCACACTAACTAAAAAATGTTCCTCTGGAAAATAATATTAATTGCAACAAATTATTCTTTTTCTAATCACATTAAAACATTTGTACATTTCCTATATATTTTTAAATGAGAAAGTGACTCGGTCTTATAAGACAGTTTATAAACTGTGGAGAAAATTAAACTCTTTCTCCACGGGTTGAGACATTGGACTACTAGTCCAATGAGACGACGAGATTTTAATTTTCTTACGGTAGTATTTATGTGGTTGATTATTTTCTTAAACATTAATTGACACTGACATTTGTCATCGAATCTGTGATTATGCATCATGGTAATTATGCAAAATAGTACTAAATTTTTTATAAAATTAAAAAAGGTATAATGTTTAACTATTATGAAATGACCATTTTCATTCGGATGAATTACTACACTCGCCTTTGGCTCGTGTCGCAATATTTTATCCCCATGGAAATGGCCAACTCTCTCAATCGTTACTGACCTTTTCAATAATAATGACATATGTATGTTGTTTGTTGTTTAAAGAAACTGCAATGGGAATTTCCCTATTAGAAACCGAAAACCAAGAAGAATATAAACGTGCAGTCTACAAAATGGGCGAATTCGTTGTATATCGATTGACAAGACCGTGGTTTTTTTTCGACGTAGGCTACGCTTTTACCTCTGGATTCTGGAAGCAAAAAAGCACCGCTACATATCTACACAACTTTTCTTCAAGCGTTATAGAACAACGAAAAAATAAACTTATGGAAAGAGCTCTGAAAAACATAATACCCAATGGGAAGCAGTCGTATGCCACAAGAAAAAAGTTGGCTATGCTTGATATTTTGATATCAGCTAAGTTGCAAGGAGAACCACTCGATGATGAAGGCATTAGGGAGGAAGTGGATACTTTTATGTTTGAAGTAAATATCTTTGGTTAAGTTTATATTCGCAAAACTTAATATTAATGATTTCAGGGACACGACACCACATCAATGGCAATCTGTTTCAAGTTAATGTTAATCGCCAACAACAAAGACGCACAAGACAAACTCCATGAAGAAATAGAAACCATTTTTGGCACATCAGATCGGGGAATCACGTTTGAAGACCTGCCAGAGCTAAAATACCTGGAAAGATGCATCAAGGAGTCTCTTAGGTTATATCCAAGCGTGCCGATGATCTCCAGGATAACAAACGGCGATATAGAAACCAAAGATGGCTACCGAATTCCAGCACAAACTTGCGTTAACGTTCACATCTATGATTTGCACAGAAATCCTGATTATTTCGAAGATCCGGAAAAATTCGATCCGGATAGGTTTTTACCGGAAAGGGCCCAGAAAAGACATCCCTTTGTTTATATCCCTTTCAGTGCTGGACCCAGAAACTGCATCGGTAAGTTTATCATAATTATTTACTATTTTAAAAAATGTTTTTTATTTGACGATTTGACGGTGGTCAAAACTTAAGTAAAGGACGAACAAAAATGCCAACCAAAACTGATAGCATATTTTGATTATTATTGATTATTATTTTGGTAACACTAACATGTATTTATCAAAATCCCAGCTGATCCCATTTTAAAGTTTTGCAAACTTTTTTGTTTTTCTATTTCTATATATTATTTTGCAATTATTGTACTAAAACTACCTGTACAATTTTAATAAAATTAAGCAAAATAATAAACTTTGTATCATTTAAATTACTTTACTCCCCAGTATTAATTTATTGAGTCACCTATTATTTTTTACCACTCAAAACAAAACATAACAAAAAAAAACGAAGATTTATATCTTAAATATTTTTTATAAATAATTACAACTTGCAAATTTTGTAAAACAATAATTAAGGTGGTAATGAAAAAAATTGCTATACGTTATAACGCAAGTGACATTTTGCTTTAGTTATTTATTTAATGTATACTTTATAAAGTTAAAAATAGTATTTTAAAATGAAAATTAAACTGAAATTCAAGTTAAGCCATAAAGAAAATCGAAAGAAGGTATGTGCTGCCTGTGGAGACAAAATTGTTTTTGGTAATCGAAAAATTCAGAGTTTAGGGTTTCTGAGAAAATATAAAAATTACTGCAGACTTTTTCAAACGAACACTTTAACTTAAGTGATTCAAAATTACCTACTTCAATATGGTAAAAGCGGTATTTTTCCATAGCCACAATTGCCAAATTTTCAAAATTTAGAAATTGCTAGAGAATTTCGCGGCAGCCAAGAATGTATGTGCTTTATCTGAAAAATGGCAAGATGTAAAGGGCATAAAAAATTATTAAGGGAAGAGGACGGACGAACGAACTAAAGTTTTGATATGCTCTTCCTTTCTAGGGGATATCGCTAGATGTAAGAAGCATGTTTGTACAGAGACTGAAGAATTTAAAAATACTGTTTCCATGTTAAAAACAATTCCCTGTAAAACCCAAGAAAAAGTTTTACTGAAAATTTAAGGCAAGCAGTAATCGATTTTGCTTCAAAGAATCTTTAGTTATTTATTAGTTTTGTATTAGATACCTTAAAACAATAAATAAGATATTGCAAACTGAGTTTTACATTATTTTGTATTTATAATGTAATTTATCCATATTTCAGTCATGTATCTGCCAAATTTTTAAAAACATTTGATAATGGTACTTTATGGTATTTTATCGAAATGGCATAAACAATTTTAAAATACTAAGAAATATGCAAAACTTTAATAAAGGATCAGCTGGGATTTCGATAAATACATTTTTGTGTTACCAAAAGAGTCTATAATCAGATTATGCTATCAGTTTTGGTTAGCATTTTTGTTCGTCCTATACTTTAGTTTTGGTGGTCTGTGGTTTTGACCACCGTGGCTCAAATGTTCAATAATTTGAAAAAAGATTTTACACTGTTTTGGGAATGGTTACTAAAAATAGTAATAGTAATAGTAATGATTCCTAAACTGATATATTTAGCATACCTGTGCTGTTTGGCAACTATTCCTTGACAGAAAAGTATTAATTACAAAACTAACTGAAAAAATACAAAATTTGTAATAAAATTTACAAAATTGTTTAGCTTTATTTATCTGTGAACAAAAGTACTCTCTAAAAATAAATTAGTCAAAAATGACTAATTTTTAAAGTAAAAAAGCAGTCACTAATAACTGTAGTCCACAGCAATTTGCATTTAACAGACAATTCTTATGTAAAATTGTCCCCTGAATCCGAAAAAGATCGTCAAAAATTATGCAAGTAGAGCAGTTTTTGAGATATAGTCAATTCCATATTATATGGAAAATTGACTATATCTCAAAAACTGTTTTACTTTTGTAACTGTTGATGAAATTTTCGGATTCAGCGGAAAATTTTACATAGGAATTGACTGCTAAATGTCCGGGATACAAAATGCTGTTGACGAAAATTATTAGTGGTTGTTTTTTCGCTATGACAATTAGTCATTTTTGACTAATTCATTTTTAGAGAGTGGTCATGACGCATGAACTTCACTTTTTAATATAAACTGCGCACCACTCAATATGTCGCGACCAAAAAGTCCATCCTTTTTCAAAACGACATAACTTTTTTGTTTCTTAAACGATTTTATTTTGGTCTGTGATGTCTGCTAGCCCCATCCTCTGGCAATTCATGCTAAAGATATGAAGCTCACGGTTCTTCAGGAAAATTTCGTACAGGGTGATAAAAGAAATATTTTTTTTTTCGTTTTTACTTTGAAATAATGAAGTATTATGTCTTACCTTGAAAAAGTTTTCAAATTTTTCGAATTGGAATCTTAGCAACGAAAATTTTTTCCCAAAAGAGTACATTTAAGGGTTTTTGGTAGGCAATACACTCAGTCTTTTTAAGAACAAGAAGATAAAATGGTGAAAGAATGTTCCTTAAATAATTCTGAACAAGCGACAAGCAACTAGCGCGCAATGTAAATGTAAGTTTAATGTAACATTATCCTAACCACTCAAACAAATTGCAGTAATTTCGCCCAAAAAATGAATCCCCAAATAGCATTTTAATCATAAATATACAAGGAACACGCCAGCAATCGGATTTTATTAAGACATTTAACAGCCGGGAATTGTTTTCGAATCTTGATTCTTGGTGATTTTGGTTTTATCTGAAACTTAAATTTGACAACTGAATCAGGAGGTCAAAATTATGAAGAAAACATATCACGAACGTAAATATCGGTTAAGGTTTAGTTTTCTCAAATTTTCACCGAAATGTTATTTTGAAAAAGAGGTCTTTGCTTAGGCCCTCTGAAAATAATGGAAGTTTGTTGCTTGTCGCTTGTTCAGAATTATTTAAGGAACATTCTTTCACCATCTTATCTTTTTGTTCCTAAAAAGACTGAATGTATTGCCTACAAAAAAGCCTTAAATGTACTCTTTTGGAAAAAAAATCATATTTTCGTTGCCAAGATTTCAATTCGAAAAATTTGAAAAAGGTTTCAAGGTAAGGCATAATACTTCATTATTTCAAAGTAAAAACGAGAAAAAAATATTTTTTTTAGAAACGGGGCTTGAATGAAGTTTTTGAAATTTTTCACCGTTTAACATATCACCCTGTAGGAAATTTACTTGAAGAACCCTGAGCTTCATATCTATAGCATGAATTGCCAGAGGATGAGGCTAGCAGACAACACAGAGCAAAATAAAATAGTTCCAGAAACAAGAAAGTTATGTAGTTTTGAAAAAGAACGAACTTTTTGGTCGCGACATATTGAGTGGTGCGCAGTTTATTTGGATAATCTTTACCGAAATACCATAAAATAACAAATCTTTTAGGGCAAAAATTTGCAGTAATGGAATTAAAGACTGTATTAATTGGGATATTAAGAAATTTCTATTTGGAACCCATTGATACACCAGATACATTGGAACTGATGACGGATTTAGTTTTAAGACCTAAAAGGGGAATAAAAATTAAGTTTGTGGAAAAAAATAAAACGTCAATATAAAAATAATTATAGTAATTTAAATATGTTAATTAAGTTTTAGATGTACATAATTATATATAATTTATAGATAATGTCTTCATGTACGCATGAACTTTGCTTTAATTATATTTATAAAACCAATAAAGTATTTGTATGTATGTTAAATATAATAATATAATAAAAAGATGGGTAAATAAATTGATTTTAAACCAAATCTAAATTTAACCTTTGAACCAACATAATAAGGAAATATGTACATATTTATACCTTTTATCAATTTAATCAAAATAAACCAACATTATTGAACACGCTTTTATCATTTTGATGTTCAGTGTTCGTGAATCATATCAAGGTCGCGTGGGATGGATAGAAATATTTTCCGTTCAAAACATAGCATGCTGCAGTCGAAGCCTCCCAAGTAAGAATATTTTAATTCAGTGTATTTGTAGACTACGGCCCCGGCAATCATGGGTGTCTTTATATTTTTACTGTTGCTATTAATGGCCGCTACTCTTATTTATTTAATTAAAAAACTGTATGATTTTTATCGCATTCGTTTCCATCTTGCCGCCATTCCGTCTCCTGAAGGGGTTGTATTTTTTGGAAACCTATTTTCGCTTATATCAAAGAAACCTGGTAAATATAAACTTTGTTATTATCTATAGATATACATATATGTATATAGTAAAAACTAAACCTGTTTATAGAGGAAATTTTCGATATGTTGAGAGACTTGGCCCAAGAGTATTGGCCTATATACAGAATCAGAACGTTTTATCTGACAACTGTCAGTCTACTGATTCCTGAAGACATTGAGGTGAGTTTTTAATATTAAATGGTGATAAAAAATATATAACATTTTTGGCTAAAAAATTAATTTCAGACGGTATTATGCGGAATGAAGCACTTAAAGAAAAGCAAGCTCTATGATTTTTTAAACAGCTGGTTAGGGGAAGGTTTATTGACGAGTTCTGGTAATCAAAATAATTAAATCAAATGACAAATAAATTTATTAATTTTAGGAAAAAAATGGCAAACAAGAAGAAAAATCTTAACACCGGCGTTTCATTTCAATATATTGCAACAATTTTTAAATATTTTCAACGAAGAAACAAACAAAATGGTGCAACAATTTGAAAATGTAGGAAACAACGGTTTTATAGATGTTACACCGTTTATAACACAGATGACGCTGCAATCTATAGGAGGTAACTGCTGTTCAATCTCGTTTCGCGCATACTAAAATCACTAAGTTAGGCAACCCACTGCACAGACGGCAGCTATTTTTATGTTGTTTACGGTGTGTTTCTTATAGGGGCACTTGTAAGCCTTAAAAAGGGCCTTAAAGACTTTAAAGTGCTAACTCTATCAGGGCTGTCATTAAACTGTCAAATGTCAATTTTAAGGTTAATTTGTGGGTTATGGTAAATAAAATAAGGATTATTTTTTACAAAAGAGGAGTAAAATGGTTGTCCTTAACACTTTAAGGCCTCATTTGAGGCTTACAAGTGTTTCTGTAAGAAACACAACATTTAAAACGATTTATAATCTGTATAAACAGCACAAACCCAAAGCACAAGAATTGTAAACAACATAAAAATTGCCGCAGTTAGAGTCTGTGCAGTGGGTTGCCTAACTTCGTGATTTTTAGTAGTCGCGAAACGAGATAGAATAGACCTTGTTGTGTAGATTGTGTATTTACCTAACTAGCGCGGAAAGTGCTACTCTTTCACACGAACACCAAATGGCGGACATTTTTATCAAAAAATTGTCGAAATTAATTAAAAACCCGTAAGAGGTTCTTTTTAAAATGTAAATAAAACATCTTTTTATAAAATAGCTTAATTTAGTTTATTATTATTAAATTTATATGATATTATTTAATACCTACATATATATTAAACAATCTCCGTCACTGGATTCGCTAAAAAAATTGTCAACACAAATAACCACAGTTTAAATTTGACATTAACACACTACAATGCGCATGCGGAGTTGTTTTAACGCACCTACAAGAGGTGGGTTAAATATGTAAAATCGGTGTTAAATATCTTAGTAGTCACGAACGATTTACGCAAGTGAAAGTCTAGAAACTGCTGTTGTAATAAACGTTTTGAGTGAATCGAGTACAAGTCATGAACGCAACCGATAAATAAAAAAAATCTTATATTTTGTAAAGCAAAAACACAGATACGCGCGCGACATAGGCTTAAAATCGCGAGGTCTTTTACCACAACCGTGCCTGAGCGCACAAGAACATGTAGTTTTGAAGAGCCGGGGGCGAGTTGGGGCAGATAATTTATTGATGGCTTGATAGACAAAACTCTAAGCTATTCAATGGATCTTGAACTGATGCCTTACAATTCATTACAATTTTTGTAGCTCCATTGTTCTAAAAGCTCGATTCAAAGTTTGCGATTTTAACAGACCGATCTTGTCGGTTACAATAACCCGTTGTACAAGCAAAATATACGAAAAACAAATACATATCTGAATTTTACATACCTTGAAGATCACCCTTCATCAAACCGCATAACAATCGGACACACCAAACACAAGTTATTCACTTTTAAACAATAAACAATTTTCCGCAGCGATCGCGTGTAAAGTACCTTCAACTGAAAGCGTCAAGTTTAAACTGATGTACAAGACAAAATATACGTATTTTATATAATTTTTTTTCAATACAGGATGGAGACAGGTATTAACTACCCATCTACCTCAAAATTTACCTAAAAAAATGTAAATTTTTGAGGTTTTGCCGATATTTTCGAGAATTGAAACACTGTGGGGCGCACAGTGGTCGGAAATCCCAAAAAGCTGGCCAAAACTCGAAAAGGTAGTAATTTTGCGTGAAATTTTCTTATACAAGGGTTTTTGGGGTCGCTGATTACGAATTTTATGTTAGTTTTTAAAAAACAAAATGGCGGATACAAAATGGCGGAGTTGTTTAATGACTTTTGATTTTTTTCAAACGAAAATAATAGTTCGGGGGTTTTTTCGGTCGCTGATTACGAATCTGATGTTAGTTTAAAACAAAACAAAATGGCGGATACAAAATGGCGGAATGATTTCATTTCAGCAAAAATACTAATTTGGGGGTTCTCGTAATTGCTGATTACGAATTTAATATTAGTTTTTTAAACAACAAAATGGCGGATACCAAATGGCGGAGTTGTTTCATGATTTTTATTGAACAAAAAAGTAGGTCAGGGGTTTTTTGGGGGTTTAAAGGGTTTCTTGGAAAAAAAAATCATGAAAGAAAAGCGGCTTTCATACGGTATCAATGAAACAAATTTTATTAACATTAATAAATAAAATAAAATAAAAACCCATCTTCATGTTTAAATTGAAAACTGAAAGTAAATCATGAATACATTTTGAAAAAATCGTTACATTCGTTCAAGATTTTAATAAAGGACTTAAAAATGACCCGAACATGCATTGAAAATCGTCACCATTGATGAGGATCAAATGATATTTAAAATGAACACCCAGTATATAATATTTCGATAAAGAAACCACCGGTTCTCTATTGTTACGTCCAGCGAGCTCCGTTTTTCGACGCTCGCAAGCTTTACTTCCTCCTGCGCTATTGCAATAAATAATTTTTTTCACTAAAAGGTGGACAAAGGTGGAAGTTACGTCTGCGTCATTTAATTGTTTATACTTTTTTACACATGAAACAGTTTGCAACTGTTCCGGATCTCGCCGGATCACTACTATTTCGTTACATTTATTCATGCTCCGTATGGAAATACAGAAATTTAAACATGTCAAATTTAAAGGTTTTGCCGCAAATTAATAAAATTAAAAAACTCATGATGAAACATTTGTAAATAATGTACATACCTTCAGGAACATCTTCCATTTTTTCCGATCTCTTCACAACACTTTTACACGTTAAAATTCCGTTTCTTGCCGCGAGGCATAAAAGTGAATAAACGCCAGACTGACAGGTGTTCGTTAAAAGGGCGAACTTTGAAAGAAAACCTACAGTCTAAAAGGCGATCTTATGCTCTGTCCCTTTGGATTTTACTACACTAACACCATCTATTCGAGATTTTGTTAAGATTTACCCTGAAAGGTAAATTTTGATTTTTGGGTTTTGGCCAGCTTTTTGGGATTTCTAACCACTGTGGGGCGGCATGAACAAAATTAAAAAATGACCCTTATAAGGACCACCTCAATATACAAACTATACTATACTATTGTTACACATGTTTTGGACCTAAACAATCATTGCTATTTAGTCAGATTTATGATTTAGGAAATTTTATCCATACCAACATTGACCAACATAGTTATAATATTTATTATTATAGAAACTGCAATGGGTTTGAAAAATATCGACGAAGCCACGCAAAAAGCATATAGACAAAGCATATACCGAATAGCACAACTTCTTTTATTAAAGTTATTAAAACCATGGATAAGATTACCATTTGTCTACCCTTTTTCTACTGTCGGACGAGAAGAAAAGAAAGAGGTTGAAAAGTTGCATAGATTCTCGAACAGTGTTATTGCTGAAAGAGAAAAACGTTTCTTGGAAGAAAAGGAACACAAATCGGAGTCGTACAGTGGTAGGAAAAGGATGGCTATGTTGGATTTGTTACTCTCCGCCAAACACGAAGATGGTAATATTGATAATGAGGGTATAAGAGAGGAAGTCGATACTTTTATGTTTGAGGTGGGTATTTTTGTTTTTATAAAACATGGTTTTCTATTTGTTAAGTTTCAGGGTCACGATACAACAGCCATGGCGATTTCCTATCTGTTTTTGTGCTTGGGTTACCATCAAAATATACAGGTATTTTTCTATATACATATTGCTTTAAAATATTGACTCAATAAATTCTTTTTTAAGAAAAAAGTATCCGAAGAAATTGATGAAATAGTGGGACTCACATCGTCGAAAGCACCGACCTACCACGACCTCCAAGAGCTAAAATACACGGAAAGGGTGATAAAGGAGACCCTTCGGCTTTTTCCTAGCGTTCCGTTTATCTCGAGGATTGCCAGCGAAGATTTTACCACTCATTCGGGGTATTTTATTCCGAAGGGCACCATATTGCATATGCATATATTCGATTTGCACAGGCACCCAAGCATCTACGAGAATCCTGAAGAGTTCGACCCGGACAGATTTTTACCTGGTAATTCGAAAAATCGTCACCCTTTCGCGTATATTCCTTTTAGTGCAGGGCCAAGAAATTGCATAGGTTAGTACTGGTTCTTCCTAAATTGAATGAAAATTTTCCAAAATTTCATATTAATTTCAGGTCAAAGATTTGCCATGTTGGAATTAAAATCAGTATTATGCGGAGTTTTAAGGAAATTTCGTTTGGAATCACTGGATGATCCAAGGACTATAAAATTCTTGCCTGATCTAGTCTTGAGAACCGAGTCTGAAATTAAAATTAAGTTTGTACCAAAATAGTAAATATAGTTAATAAAATATTTTTTTTCTACTCCGACCTTTAAAACTCCCATTAACGTACCTACATGTTTCTATGACACTGACCTTTTAAATACACATTATCAATTGACAAGTTGTGGGTTTTGGCGTTTTAGTCAGGGGCTGAAGTTGGCAATAGGTTTTTATTTACGGGCTCAAGTTAGCCTTAAATTAGTTGACAAATGTCACACAATCTTTAAAAGAATACTAAATGGAAAAATTATTTTATTATCTCAATTCAAAAATACAAAAGTATTAAATAGTTTCTCAACGCCAATATTTGAAAAGTTTATATAAAAATTGTACTGTCCTTTTAATTTCGCCGACAGTAAACTAGATTTAACTTGGTTTCGGGTGGATACTCCACCGTGTAATGCCCATAAAACATTTTAAAACTGTTGTCAGTCCATTGGGATACATTTGGATTTACACATAAAAATTTGACATTTTGACCGGCGTATCTTTCAGATACCTTTCAGAAATGTTGCATTGTTTCTTTTATGTTTCATATTACTAGGGAATATACCTGGTATATCTCAGAAATATTGTGTTATTACATACGATTTAAGTTGTATATATTTATTTGAAATATTTTTGAAACAAATTCCTGAATATCAGTTTGTACTCAAAATAAAAAATGTTTGCATCTGTTCTGTGTTCATTTGTGATTGTGTTTGTACGAATTAACGGAATCGAGGTTTTTAATCTTTAATGTGTTGTAATTTTGTTATGCTTAAAGTTACTTCCCCTAAAACGCGATATGTTGTTGGTCCGCCATTTTAACGACACCCTGTATAGCAGTATGATTTTTCTTAGAAACCACTTTACTTTGGAACTATTGACAATTTTGTACTACAATTTTTCTTTTCAGAAAATAAATAATAACACCGAAACCTAAACATTTTGAAGAATGAAGAATTTAGAATAAGAATTGATTTTTTTATTTTATGTCCATCTGGACTGCTGCTATTATATTTTATATAGGTATTTTTTATTTTCAATAATAAAATATTTTCCTGAAATATTACAATTTTGTGTTTCTTTAAGTTATTTCAGATATATTTCTAAAAAATGTTTCTGGGAGGCGGACATCTATACATTTGTTACCAAGAAACATTTAAGAAACGTTTCAGAAATATTATGTGCTATCTGGGTATTTAATTTAAATTATTTTTAGATAATAAGTATTTGCCGTAAAAAAGTATAGTATGCAGGTCGTTTATAAAGTTTTCCATTTAATTAAACACTCGCTCGCAAGTTTAGTCGTGCCTAATTAAAATTCGTGACTAAAATGGCGCTTATCAAATTTGTTACATAATATACTATTATTATACCTTTTATGTTTATTTACTAATTGTTGGTACGATAAAATAGTAAATATTTTTAAAATAAATTTAAAATAATTTCACAGCTTTTTGAAAACCTGAGTCCCAAAGGTTCAAGTATTGCCAATTAACAACAGATCTCTCAACAATGCCCCAACAATAAACACATTAATCAAATCGGAAATAATGTAAATACTTACTAATAATCTAGATTACTTCTAATATAATAATGTTTTAATTGGCCAAAACGTGCACACATTTGAAAGCTTTCATTGGTTTTTAATAACATACCAATAGTTTACAAAATTATCAAATTAAGAACAATTGTTAACTTATTTTCGGTGACAATTTTATGCGACCTATTTTAGGTCAGCTTGTAGTAAAATATTCGCCTTGCTTTATACTCTTACCCTCATATCTGGAGAACTAGTATACTATAGTTCTGAACTAGTCCTATACGTAAATTTAGTATAGCACCACGTTAATACACAAGCTGAAGTTAAAATTGGCGCGTGTATGTTATAGTCGCACGGGGGTAGAAGGGAAAAATAATTTTAAAAAAATGTGCTATTGTATTATAACACCTGTGGCATATTTTTATTAGAAATTAAATGATAAAAAACATTGTGGCGCAGCTGACCCCACTTGAAAAAAATCACGGCAGTTAACGTGTTAAAATGTTTACAGACATATCAAAATAGTAGATATTATTAAGATCATATCATAAAGCAAGAATGTACTCCACTAGTAATTTATATCTCGAGAGCAAACTCTTATAATATTAGACAAATCTATATACATAAGTACATTTTATATACATTTCATCAATATCAGACGGAAAGTAAAATTTATTATTCATATAATACAAGACACAATTCTAAAAATCCAATATTAAATTACCCCTTTTTAAAAAGACTTTTATGCAGAGATATATATTTTATGTTGGCCCAAGATGCTTTAACATTCTACCAAATAAACTTAAGGCGTTAAGAAAATTTAATACTTTTAAAATTGAAACAGAAATTTATATCAGGACCAAAATAAATAGAATTCAAAAAAATTAAATTTTTATTAAGTAGTCCCACTATTTTGTGATGGTGATGGTCCTCAAATACATACATACAATTGAAGACTTTTTTTCAAAAACCGCACATGTCACAAAATGCTCAAATCGAGCTAAATGCGCCATCTAGTAGCATATCAGACATTTTTTAAGTTTTTTGCTTATCCTGAAAAATGCAGATTTTAGACATGTGTCGTTTTTGAAAAAATGTCTTTAACCTCTTCAATTTTCAGTCTTTCAATGTCTTCTAAGCTTATAAAAAAAATCTAATTAACAAAAATGAACTGTAGATCCTATTTAAACATTTAATATAGATATTTCTTTTGTTTGTAATATTATTTTATTTCACAACACAATCACGGATACGTGATTAGGTGATATTCAGTAAAAATTAAAAATAAGAATCGATTTTAGGTTTGGAAACCTACTATTTTTCTACTCAGAAAACCTGGTAGGTAAATATTAACTTATCGATCAATGTAAAAATTAAACCCAACTTTTAGAAGACATAATATAATATCAAATATTATTTGATATGCTTCGAGATCTAGCGAAAGAATATGATTTGTTAAAACACTTATTAACCCACCTATGTTTAAATAAAAAAAAACTAAGTGCAACATAAAGTTTGTAAAAAAATAAAATAATAATAAATAAATAATAATAAAAATACTATTTTTTTTCTTATAACAGGTTTTCGTTTTTAAATAAGCCTACGATTGGTAAAAATTTTAGAGAATAAATGCAATATATAAACTTCTCATTATCGTGCTATTCGTCATTGTTGATAATTTATATGTATTTCGATTAAATTCCGATTTAGCTCTGTTCTACCCACGGACTTTGGAAGTATCTACTGGGAAGTCTTAGCACTTAGATTTAGAAACTGTTAATTAAGATATTATTAATTATTATTAATTAATCATTAATTTTATCACCATATTTTTGTGGTATTAATTTTTTATTTGTAATATATATTATATTTGCATATGCGCTTTTATAATAAAATATACACAAACATTTAAATCTACCGAAATTAATCTAACAAAATAATAAATTTTTTCTACTTCTATTACGGAATTTGACCCTTCTAATATCACTTTTATCTATGGAATGACATATATTCCGTAAAGTGTTACAGAATGAAATATTCTATCATCTGATGACAGAATAAACACTCGTGGCGACATCTCTGTTTTTAATATCTAACAAATTTTAGACCGATCCAACCTTACTTTCTTCCAATTAAATTATTTTTCTATGGTATTTTTTGGAAACGTAGAAAAAATATAAACGTTTGGAATTGCATATTCCGCTCTCGTGAAACCGTCAAACTCGCCTTCGGCTCGTGTGACAAACTCTTTACTCGAGCGGAATATGCTGAATTCCAAACTTGTTACAGAATATACTATACTGCTTTTAACTAATATAAAAAAGTGTTTATTGGTTTAACCAAAGGGCTATCGACCTGGGTCCTGATTTTAAAAGGTTTGTAATAATATATATATATATATATATATATAGATATTGTATGTACTCTCTAAAAATGAATTAGTCAAAAAATGACTAATTTAATAGTTATTAGTGGCTGCTTTTTCACTTGTACCATGGTTAAATATGGAATACCATGACATACCAAAATTTACCAGCCAATTCTTATGTAAAATTGTCCCCTGAATCCGAATTTACCGTCAAAAATTATTAAAGTGGAGCAGTTCCATATTAATTGGAAAATTGACTATATCTCAAAAACTGTTCTACTTTTTTAACTTTAAACGACATTTTCGGATTCAGGGGACAATTTTATATAAGAATTGGCTGTTAAATTTTGGTATACCATGGTATCCCATGGTTAACCATGGTAGAAGTGAAGAAGCAGCCACTAATAACTATTATTTATACTATATTATATATTGTCGATTTGAAAATATTTACGAGTATTTCCGATACTACTGATTGCGACCTTTTTCAAAATGAATTACTTAAACATTGTTCTTAAGTGGTGCAAAATTAACAAACTCGATCTAAATATTTCTAAATGTAAAATCTGTACTTACAGTCTTAAAAAAACGGTCGTTATATTTAATTACACTTTTGGTAATACCACTCTTTCCCGCTGTCATGAAATTCGTTACCTTTGTGTATTTTTTGATAATAAGCTTTGAAGCTCTTGGGTTTCATAATTCGAAATTCTAAAAAATTTAAGTTTATTAAAGTACATAATATGTTGTTATGTTTATATATACTTTGTCCTGTAATTGGAATATTGGATTCTCTTGGGCAATAAATCATTATTATTATTATAAATATGAAAATATTAAAAACTTTTTCATCGTAAATTTTTCCATGCTGAAATTCGGTTTTGTGATTGGTGTAAATATAAAGGCCAAAATAATTATAATTTATTAATGAAAACATAAATATTTACATTGTTGTTAATTATATATGAACAAGTTTTAACTATAGTACGAGGGTCGTCAAATATAAGAATAATTTTTGTGTCATAAGATACACTTTAAAAAATATAAATGTGTACAGTTTATAAACTGCAGTTAAATTAAAATTAAGTTTTAGAATACTTATGGAATAATATTCGTTATTGGATGGGAA